CAGCGCCACTTCCAGCTTTTTCTGTTTATGTGGTACTGAGGAATCGAACCCAGGGCCTCATGCATGCAAGGCAAGCACTCTACCGCTGAGCCACCTTCCCAGCCCTCTCATTTGAACTTTTATAAGCAAGTCATCTACAATGGCATTACAAAAGTAGATTTACTTAGTATACATCTAACAAGACCTCTAAAAGGAAAACTATATATGTATTTTTGATAGTGATTAAAGAAACATCTAAATTAATGGAGAGTTAAAGTGGTTGAAAGATTTATAAATTCTTCTCAAGCTGAAGATAGATCTGATTAATTACCATGAAACTCCTGTAGGTTTCTCATGGAGTTGATGATTCTAAGCCATATATGGAAATGCAAAAAGCTAAGCAGTCAAAATAGTCTTGATGTTTAGAAAAACATAGAACTGGCTGTATTAGATTTAAAAACTTTATTACAATACTATAAATAAATCAGTGTTGGTTTAGAGAGAATACATATAACCCAAAGTCCAGTAAGATTCATACATATAGGAACATTTGATATATTAGTAGCATCACTAAGGATCGATAGCAAATGACAGGACTTTCCAATAAGGGGCATTGAGGCAACCAGAAAAAGGAGAAAGAGAGAGAGGGGAAGAAGGAAGGAAAAGAAGGGAGGAAGAGAGAAAGGGAAGAAATGAGGGGGGGAAGGGAAGAGAGTCTGGGGATGTGGCTCAAATGGTAGAGCCCAGAATTCAAATCCTAAACATTTGAAAGGTGCTCAACCATCATAAAAAACTAATAAGGCAATGCAAATTGAACCCTTAATGAGATGCCACTCTACACGGATCAGATTGGCAAAAGATCTCAAACCTAGCAATATCAAGTGTTGGCAAAGAAGTAGGAAGCAGATGGGTATAAGAGGCCAGCAAGTGCTAGTTTGCAAGTAAAGTTAGTAACGTTACAACGGGCATGAGTGTGACTCAGTAAATCTGCTTCAAAGTCCTATTTGCATGCACAGCAAAAGTGGCTCACACCTGTAAGCTTCACTACTTACAAGGATGAGAGGCTGGGACTGGGAAGATCAAGGTTTGAGGCCAGCCTGGGCAGAAAAATTGTGAGATTTTCCCCTTCTCAATGAAGAACTGGGTACAATGATGAGCACCTGTCATCCTAAGTACAACAGGAAATCTAGTTTAAGTGGATCGAGACCTAAACATATCACGTGGCAGGAAGCAAGACCCTATCTCAAAATAACCAACAAAAAATGGTTGGAGGTATGGCTCAGCAGGAAGAGTGCCCATTGGGCAAGCATGAAGTCCTGAGTTCAAACTCCAGTTACTGAAGAAAAATAAAAGGAAAAAGAAAACACAGGTTTTAAGTATATTTCTCTTATTTTCATTAACTGTGTAAAATACTATACCTACAGCCAACAACACAAGTGAATTTCTGGAACATAATGTTGAAAAGCCAAAACTGCCATGTAGTAAATAGCCTCCTCTGCCCATCTATGCTGGAAAATAGGCAAAGCAAATAATTATGAACGCAAATCTAAGTCTTTAAAGTGTAACAAATCACAGAAAAGATTCAGGATGATAGTTTCTTCTGAGTAGAGAGGAATGGTGCCCAAGAAGACTGTATATTATCTCTACTTTAGAATACTTAATAAGGAAAACTTTGCCACTACTGTCTAGTAAAAGTAGTTTATTATAGCAACACCCTAAAGGAAAATGCTCTATATAATTTGAGGGGGGATTTTTGTTGTTTTGACCCAGGGCAGCTCCAAACTCCTGATCCACCTGTCTCAGCCTCCTACTTGCTGGGATTGAGGAAGTGAACTATTATGATAGGCTATCTGTGGGTTTGTGTGTGTGTTTAATAGTGGAAAAACATATGAGAAAATTTAATCAGTCTCTAAGGAACACAACCCTCATTTTATTGTGTGCCTGCTGCCCCCTAGTGCCTAACTCAGGAAGGACAAGTAGCTATGTGTCCCAGAAGAGAAAAGAAACAAAACTTGACACTTCAAAGTCCATTTTACTCATACCAGACCAATATTCTCACACACGGATTTCCCTTCACATTCGGAACAATACGTAGGTAATTATTTACATTTTTTTCAGAGATTATCTCAAAGACAAATTTGTAATTAAGCTCGTATACTGGCAAATTTACAAATTGTCTCTATTTTGAAAACTTTTAAAAGAGTAGTGACAGGGAAAATTATTCCATTCCACTAGTGATAAAATCATAAAACATTTATATATGAATTTAATCAGAAAGTTAAAAAGCTGTATAAAGAAATTACAAATGTTTATTGGGCCAGAAACTATGGGACCTTTATGAAGAAATAGAAAATACCACTGGAGAATACAAAAGAAGTCTTTTTTTTTGGGGGGGGGGGGCGGGTCCAGTCGTGGGGCCTGAACTCGGCCTGGGCGCTGACCCTCAGCTCTTCAGCTCAAGGCTAGCGCTCTACCACTTGAGCCACAGCACCACTTCCGGCTTTTTTCTTTCTTGCTTATGTGGTACTGAGGAATCGAACCCAGGGCTTCATGCATGCAAGGCAAGCGCTCTACCACTGAGCCACCTTCCCAGCCCACAAAAGAAGTCTTAAGCAAATGAAAAAGCATTTCATATTCTCTGGGGAGTTTTAATATTATAAAAATTTAAATCTAAAAAATATTAAAATTTTATGCACTCAAAATTTAAATCTCGATAGAAGCATTTTTTAAAAAAAGGCTGGGGTGGAACAGAATTTGCAAAGTGATTTAAAATTTCATGAGAACAAATTCTAACCTGAAAAAGGTTTTTTGGTTTTTTTTGTTTGGATGCTGGTACTGGTGCTTGAACTCAGGTGAGCCTTGTGCTCTGAGCTTTCCAGCTCGCAGATGGGGCTCCACCACGTGAGCCAGGCCTCCAGCCTAGCCTTTTTGCTTGTAAATTGGAATCTTTCTTTCCAAGTCCACCACCTTGAGAAATAAGGGCACTTGGTCAGAAGGGCACCGAGGCCTATACAAAAAGTTCAAGAAGGCAGTGACGTCTTCAGAGGTAAAAACAAGAAGGAAGTTTCACTTTGCTGCTTAAGGGAAGGGCATCCCTTGATGCTGCCGTGAACGCATGGCGCACGCGCAGAACGCGGCCGCACACGCGTAACACAGGATGCGGGCGAGCGGCCTTGGTGACGCCGCGCGGGTTCCGTTGGGCCGCGCGCCTGGGGCGCCCGGGGCAGAGCCGTTGAGCAGCAGGGCTGCGCCCCGCAGGGCTGCGCCCCCCGGGACTGCTGCGCCCCGGCCGCCCCTTAGGTCTCGGGAGACGCGGACGGGTTCCGTCCCTGCGCTCTGGCGCCGGTGAGCTTAGGACACTCGGCCCCTCTGCCGCGCCGCGGTCCGCTCCCTCGCCCGCCCAGGGAGCCTGGGCACCGGCGGGGCCGGGCCGGCGCGCCGCGCCCAGAGAGGCTCGGCAAGTGGCCGGTGGAGCCGGGCGGGAAGCTGCAGCGGTAGGGCAGGGGGCCTCCGAGGCCTCTGGAGGCCTTGCCTCGGAGAAGGGGGATCCCGGCTCTCACAGCAGGTAAGGAGGACCCCGACCGGGCCTCGGGGGCGGCGGCCCGGACGCCAGCGCAGCGGATCGGGGGATCGCGCACTGCACGGAGGCCGAGGCACCGAGAGGCGCCGGCGCCCCTCCCCGACTCCGTGAGCAGCTCCAGGACGGGCGCTCTGGCTGAACCAGAGGGAAAACCTTCCCTGCCACCCCAACCCCGTTATTTGAGACGAGCAAAGCCGTGACTTGTAACCTGGAAAGAGGAAGCTTCTGCCAGACCCATCATTAGTGGCCCTAGTTTGGCCTGGCACATGGCAATTTACTGAATAAAAATGGCAAGAGTAGCCCGGCACCAGTGGCTTACGCCTGTAGTCCTACTCAGGAGGCTGAGATCCGAGGAAGGCGATTCGAAGCCAACATGGGCAGGAAAGACACACTTAACTCCAATTAATCACGTCTGAAGTGGAGCTGTACTTAAAGGGGTAGAGTGCTAGCTTTGAGCAAAAAAGCTCTGGGCTAGCACCCAGGCTCTGAGTTCAAGCCCCAGGACTAGCACAAAACTGGTTCTGCCTCTGGGGCCAAGGCTGGCTGTGCAGCGACTCTGAGAACCAAGCACAACATGGCCATTTCACAAGGAGCCCGAGTTCTATCTCCAACAATGGAAAGAACACTGCAGTGGAATTCTCAGAAAGTTCCTGGCACCTTGGCAACTATCAATGATTCCCTTAAAACCTGGCTCAGTTGCAGAATGACCTTCCAACGGGGACAAGTAGCCACTGGAGGCTTAGACCACTCAAGTCAGCCCTTAACTATATGTAAGTAGCAGGTTTGGAGTTCTATCGGGCTTGCCTTATTGGTCTGTTTAACTGTGCACTTCTGGCCAACCTTATTTGAACCCAGATTCAGGAAAGGAAGCTGGACCCAACAAGAGAAAAGCCTCTAAACCAAAAGGCAGTATTTCTCAAAAGAGGGAACCAAAAAGGTTTAATCAACCTGCCATTGACCCTTGCCTTCCTTTAGTAAATAAAAATGCCATGCCCTTGTTCTGTGAACTGGCAAAAAACATCACTTACTCCGAGGTGGAATTGTTATAATAAATCCCTGGGATAATTAGGGGCTAAGGGATACTTTGCTGTGGGATAAATTACCCCTTGTTTTACCATCTGACTTAGAAAAGGCAACCTAACCCAAGATTCAGAAACACACATAGCCCAGTCCCAGAAAAGAAACACAACTGGCTAATTAAGTCAATCTCATCAGTTAATTCCAACTGACTCAGAAATCTATCACTTTTCACATTAGTAAATAGCTGAAAGGGATGTAATTACAATACTGGCAAGTGAGGAGGGGGCATGCTGTCTGTAGAAGCTGGAAGGCAGTTCAGGAATGTATCTTTGAATTGTTAATGCACCCACTGTCTGACAGCCTCCCTTTTTTGAAATCTACCCTCTATTAGATATGTTAATGAAAACACAATCACAGCATGTTTCAAAACTGTTCAAAACCCAAATGTTTATAACTCCGGAAAACTGTTAAATGACAGTTTACCAAAGACAATGAAATTCCCTGTGGGGTGGTTCAGAATAAAGACGACCCATATAATAAATCACTTTGAAACAGGCTTTAAGATACACTTGGTAAAACAGGTGGAAACAGAAGGGTGTATGTGTGTGTGTGTGGTGTGTGCGTGTGCGCACACGCGCACCAGAGACTTGCTTTCCACAGCCCAGCCTTGTAGTGTTGGATTTTTACCATGCACATGTTCTACTTACAAGCCAGGCCTGAGGCCCTTCTGTCACAGGTGGACCCAGCCCACCTCTGCCCTCCTACATCATTAGACCCCCTCCATGCTGACTGGCCCACAGGGACACAGGCACTGCATTTTGTCTTCCTATCCAGAACACCAGCAGCTCTGCCTGGTAAAACATCTGCAGAAGTTGGATCACACACCTCTAGAGTGAAGCTAAAACATTTGGCAAGTTCAGTCTTTCCCTTTCTGTGGGTGTTTTGGGAGAATGCAACTGAAATGAGTGGAGATGGGAAAGATCTTGAACACCATTAGAGTCACAAGGTACAAGAAAATAGAAGAAGGTGATACTGGATTTCACAGAGCACAATTTGGGAGTCTCATGAAGAGTTTATAGTATTGCATTTTGATGACATGTAAGTAAAAAACTTGAATATTTTAATTCAACCCTCCAATAAAAATGTAGGATCAACTTCCTTTCAGATGGAAACAGGTTTGGGGACAAAAGTAGCCCACAAACTAACTGCCTAAGGGTCATCTGACAGCTGGGTAAGTGGGAATTGCCAGTTCAAGAAACCCCAGATGCTTAAAATGTTCCAGAGGAAGAGGATCACTTCTGAGCAGTGATGCCCCAGCCTTCTCCCAGGGACCTGGTCTGAGGAAATGCAGGACCTACCTGTCACAAGTGCTTCCCGCACAAGTGGGAAAGGCCATCAGATTCCATTGCGGCCAAGGTCCCGTGCATGGCTTCCCTGACTTCTGGAGACCGCACTGGGCAGCAGGATGCCACTGCTGACTTGGGGTAGGTAAATTGTAGAAACATCCAAGAGAGTATGAATCACAGGTCAGTGGTACAGGCCAAAGTTCTTAACGCCTTGAGGCCCCGGATAAGGAGTAGGAAAAAAAGAGTGGTGGGGAATGGAACCAGTTCTTCCAATGTTCATTAGAGAAAACTCAGCAGCATTTTTTGACCCTGAGAAGTTGTCTAAAGGACACGGCTTCTGGGGCTGTGACCCAGCAAGGAGGGAAGGCCAAGTGTGCTTGCTGAAGTCCCTGAAGCGAGAGGTTCCCTGGTCCCTTCCTTTTTGTGTTCCATGGGGCACAAGAGATAGTAGAAAAGCAGCAGGAACCAGTACCACTGAGGCAGCCATGGACGGAGGCCTCTTCCTTGAGAGGCCACCTTCACACTCCTGCACCTTCCCTGAGGAATCAATCCTTTGGACTCAACACCTGGAGTGCTACTCAGGCCAGAGGGCTGACCCATCAGAGTATCTGCTCCTCAACCTTGATGTGAACTACCAAGACTGGAAACCTGGTGGTCCGTGGCTGAGGAACTGCTCCCCCAGAGAAAACTTAGGTGGTGCACAGGGAGGCTGAACAGAGCTTTCTTCCCCAAATGACAATGCCACCACCACGTGGGTTAATTGCAGACTTGAGGACCCCAGACAAAAGACAGGAGCTATGAGGGAAGAGTCCCTTCAGATGCTGAGCCTGCTCTGACCACAGCCTTGTTGGGTCCCCGAGAAAGGGGCTTCCTGGGATCACACAGCTCTGGAGGACTCTTGCCCACCTGCGGCCCCCGGATTCCACTTTCTATCCCCTAGGAGAGAAACCTCTGCCATCCCTGGAGCTTCTCCAACCTTACCCTGGCACTAGCCTCACCACTACTGTGAGGAGCCAGGAGCTGAAGTGGCTCAGGCTCAGTCACCCAGTGTGGCAAAAATGGGAAGGTTTTCCATCCTGTGCCTGAGAGTCACAGGCACAAAATGTATGGTCTCACAGCAGGCGCAGCATCGTCTCTTTAAAAAATAAATATTTATAAACAGGGAGGAAGATTCAAGAGTCTTTTCCTCCAAAAGCACACATGTCCTATAAGTCAAAACAAGTATCAGTCCAGCAGCTCATGAAGGCACCCTCCTTCCCAGGAAACTGCTGTATTGAAGGGCAGGGAGTGGGAAGTGGATCTCTGGCTCCCGGCCTCTCAGTCCCCCTTGGTGATGAGGTCTTCGATGTAGGCATCCAGCTCATCATCTGTGTTGATGTCTATGTCCTGGAACAGAGCATGGTGGAGGGGTTAGCTGGGGCTGCAAAGTGAGTGGTTCCTGGAGCGGAGGCCAGGGTTCCCTCTCATTCTCTTCACTTTAGCTGTCGAACCTTTTTTTTTTTTTTATATCAGGGTTTGAACTTGGGGCTAACTTGAGTTTTACTCCCAGGCCCTTCAGTACATTACTCAGAATGGGTTTTGTGTTTTTGCTTGGCGATGGCCTCAGACTACAATCCCTCCTACTTATGGCCTCCAGCCTATTCTGGCTGGGATAAGAGGTATATACCACCACATCTGGCTTGTTGGTTGGGATGAGATCTCATGTTCCTGGACTGACCTTGAACCATAATCCTCTCATTTTACACTGGGATTTCAGGCAAGAACCACCATGCCTGGTCTTCCTGTCTTTTTCTTGGGGGGTGGGGGGCGGAAGGGGACAATTCTAGGGCTTGAACTCAGGGTGTGGGCACTGTCCCTGAACATTTTAGTTTAAGGCTAATGCTCTACCATTCAAGCCACTTCTAGCTTTTTGCTGGTCAATTGAAGATAAGAGTTTCATAGACTTTCCTGCTGACTTTGAACTAGGACCCTCAGACGTCAGCCTCTTGAGTAGGATTACAGATGAGATGTTGGCATAATCCCTATCCAGGCTTCATTCTCTTGCCCTACCTCTATATCCCATACTAGACGTCTTCCTTCTCACTGTTACTATCCAATGTATAGGTCACTACTATTTCTAGCTCTCACAATGTGGGAAGTTTATTACCAGATTCCCTGGTTCTAAACTGCATGCCTCCAACTAAAGTGTCTTATACTTAAAAGTGGACCACCCCACATGCTTCTAGTGACTTGCTGTTCTCAGGATCAAATCCCACTTTAACACCAGCCTGTCCCTCCTGCCCACTACTCCCCACTCAGGCCAAATCCTGCTGATTTTCCTCTGCCTAGAGTACTCAGGTCCCACACTTGTGATGGTCAGCTTCCAGTCTCAGCTCAAATATCTCCTCAGATGCCACCCAAACAACCGTGGTCAAACACCCACCATTACTAACTCACTCACCCACTACACTACGAGGGGATGAGAGCTGGGACTTCATCTGCCCTGTCTTCCCCTCCCAGGGCCCCAGAACAGGCACAGAATAGACACCCCATGTTTTCACTGCCCTGTCTTCCTCTCCCAGGGCCCCAGACAGGCACAGAATAGACACCCCGTGTTCAGTGCCTTGTCTTCCTCTCCCAGGGCCCCAGAACAGGCACAGAATAGACACCCCGTGTTCACTGCCTAGAGTACCCTAAAGGGTCCTTCCCACTTCCGGACTCGCAATTCCACCCGGGACATCATCTGGAAAAGCAAGAACTTTCTTTATGGCTTGGAAGGTGCTCAAATCAGGCTGTACATGGGAGTGTCCAAACAAGGGACAGAGACGGGTTCGGTGGCTCTGGTGGGGAAGGCCCACTTCAAACCCTCTGGTCAGGATGCTGTGCAGCCAGGGTTGGAAGCAGAGATTCTTACGGGTAGACAGAGTCCTGTGAGATGGCGGTAGAAGGTGCCAGGTCCCCTGCCTGAGAGACCATGTGGTCTAGCTGCAATGGAAGGGCTGCCTGGCTCACCTCCTGGACCTTCTGCAGCAAAGCCACAATGTTGGTCCTCAACTTCTGCAGTTTCTCCTCTGTCTCACGGAGCTTCCTCTCAGAGGTACGCAAATTCTCCTCAGAGGCCTTGGCTCGGGAGTCAGCACGGCTTTGATAGGAATTGCACAGATTCTGGAGTCCCGCTTCGTACTGCTTGAAGTATTCTTTCTGTGGAAGGAAGCCAGGGGAAGGACACATGAGTTCACAGGGCTCTTGTAAGTGGGAGCGTGCACTGAAACCATCTTAGTACAGAGGCAAGCAGTTTTCCAGGATCCGGGGAGACCTCAGCACCGATCTTACAGGGCTGCCTCTTGAAGTGTACAATGTCCTGAAGGCAGCAACAGGTATGTTTTGTTTTTACATTGAGGGGGATTAAGAAAAATGGAACCACTGAATCTAGGTAATAAAGACATTTGTAGGGCTGACACTCTCTTCTACACGTCTCATACAGTATTGTAACTGTGATATAAGGATGGTGTAACGGAAGGCCTACTGTTCCTGTAGATAGTAACCAGAGGTCCTAACTAGTACACATGTGTAAATTTTCAGTCTGGAGGAGCCTATTTTCAGTTCTGATTTGAGGTTAATCGAAGAGGAAAATGCAACAGGAAAAGAATCAAACTGAAAGACTCCTTCTACAGGGAATGAAATCAGAGCAGTCGACTCTTCAGCTGTCTAAGGCCATGTGAATTGCCATGCCAAGCTGGCTGGGATGACCAGAAGGCACAAAAGGACTGAGGAAGGGAAAGAAGAAGGGAGGAAGTGGCTTCAACCATGAGCTCAAAGTGACAGCTAGGAGAGTGGTAACACCATACGGCCTCAACTCTCTGCACATGCCATAATGTGCATACAAATGCAGTAAGAAATCCCCACAGCAACCTCTATTTGACAGTACAGATCCAATCTTTTGTGAATACAAGGCATCTACGATCTGAGGGTCTGGCAGTACAAACACATCAGTATGTTTATAACAGAATCAGACTCCACTGTGGCCAAGATAAAAGAATTGGATTGCCTCTGCAGTTTTTGAGATGCCTGCAGGATTTCAAGCTGAGATGGGAGTAAACACCATAGTCTGTAACCATTCCCCTTCTCTATCTGGACCAATGAGACACATGAACTGTAGTTCTGGTACTCTCAATTTACTTCATGCCAACCTTGACTCTCCATGAAGTCCAGGAAAACCAAGAGTGCAATATAAACTTGAGTGACATCTCCCGTATCTAACTCAATCATTTCTAAGTACTTAGGAGTCCTTGGAAGCCCAAGGGTGAGCACCACTGCCACCTTGAGAGCTGCACTGCTACTGCCCAGAGTCAGCTCGAAATCACCATGCTTCTCCTGGCAGCCCATGCAGTGCACTATAATCTGAGCCTGGCTGGAAGCCTATATTCAATTTTTTTAAAAATGATAATGTATTTGCAGGGCCCCTGGTCTAGCATAACAGGAAAAAGAACCAGCATTCGCAGATTGATAAGGACATACGAATTTAGCAAAGTCCCTGGCCCATCCTCAAGTTTTAGACATCACAACAACCAGAAGTTCAGTGATGCATGCTGGAATTATACTTCTTTTTGTAAAATAAGCTAGCTATTATTTTTAGACACAGACTCACTTTCACTTTGTTTTGGGCTGAGCAGTCAAGGCTCACTGCAGACTTCCTGCTGTCCCCAGGCTTTGCATTGAGTTTGGTAACAACTTTAAGACAAAAGCAACAAATCTGACCAACAAGAAGATGCCAGCTAGACCCAGCTGTCCTATCAGCTGTTTGCTGTCCTGGGATCTGCCCAGGGCACCCACAGGCTAAACAAGGACAAAAGCCAAAGCCTGGAGTTTTCTGTGAAGAAACTGTCATGGGCTGTCATGGGCTCCTCAAGCACTCTGCCCTCTCATTCATTCATTCATTCATTCATTCATTGTGACAGCAAGACCGCATTGTGGCAAGAATCAGATTTGTGTGAAGAAGTGCCTGAATTCCAATCTGGGCTGTCTCTAACTCACAGACTTCTTCACTTCTCTCTCTGAGCCTAAGGTTCTTCAACTACTATCTTATTTCACTGTTGAAAATAGAAAAGTTAAATAAAGCCCATGTTTTCTCTCTTGCAAACTATTATCAAGAACTTGGCTTCCACATGAGGATCTACATTCAGGATAAACTAATCCAATTTCTATTCTCATCCTCTTCCCTTCCCTAGAAAATCTTATCATATAAATGTCCCACATCAGGAGGATGACACCAAGCTCCTGGCTTCTCATCTCTGCTGGCCCTTCGCACATCACCAGAAACAGGTGCAGCACAGACCTCAGCTTATCACTTTCCTTACCCTTGCCCTGTTTTCTCTGTTAAAATAACATCTAGTTGCATACAAGCCTAAAAATCTGCTTTTACTGTCTCATGTCACTGAATGACAAGAGTTTGTCAATAACCTCTGGCACTCAGTCCTTTCACCCTCTGCCCATTCCCATAGTCCTGGCTTCCATTCCCATCCTCTCACCTCTGACCTTTTACAATTAGCCTCTCTGCCTCTATCTCAACATCCATCAATCCTATCCACACATGCTACTACTAAAGATACCCACTGCAGAGACTGGCAGCAGACTATAGCCCCTGGACCAAATCAACTTTCATGTTACAGTGGCAGAGATGAGTAGTTGCCATAGAGACTAGATGGTCTGAAAAGCTGTACTTGCTAACTGGCCTATTAAAAAGCTATAGGCCCCCGCCCTGGACATGGTGCAGACTGGATGGTTCCTGCAGCTCAAACTTTTGCTGGCCCTCCATCCATTCCCTGCACAGAGGTTAGGCCAGCACGCTTACAGTAGACACCTAAAATGCACCGCTTCCTACTCTCCAGCCTCTTCTCTCCTAAATGCTTAACTTAAAACCTGCTGCCCTAACCCTATTGCCAGCCTTCCCCCGCCCCCACCTGAGCCTTTGCCACTGGAGTCTTCACCTCAGTTAGCCGCCCCGCCCCCCCTTGCTTACACAAATGAAGCACTTAGCAGAACCTTGTTTCTTCGCCCTCCCTCCCTGGCTGCCATAGCTCTAGCCACTGCCCACCACTCACTGTGTTCAGCATGTCTCTAATGCATCTTAAGTGTCCAAGAAAGGATTGGAGGAGGTGACACATCAACATTTGCTGGGCCACCTGAGCCCTGGTGCTCATCATATGCTACAGTGTCAGCCTACCTACACTCAGCCCCAAGTTTTACACTTTTCTGTTACCTGGGACAGGTTTACTTGTACTAGAATAAACTAGAATAAAAAAGGCATGTACTTGACTAAAATGTTAAACCATGTCTCTGACTACAAGGAATGCTCAACATCTAGCCTCTACGGTGAGTATCAAAACTACGTTTTCTCCACAACACAGTCTCTTCCTTCTTTTTCTGAGCAGAAGAAAGGGAAGCCAGGAAGTAGAGTTTGTGGCTCAAACAGTACAGCACCAGCCTCAAGTGAAAGAGGTAAGGGACAGCACCCAGGCCCTGAGTTCAATCTCCAGTACCAAGACACACACACACACACACACACACACACACACACACAAGCAAGCTGAGGTGGAGTGCAAAGTTGAAAGGTAGCAATCAATCTCAGGAGCAATCACAAGCACAAACAGGGAATGGGGATGTAATACCAAAGGCGGGTCAGACTCACCAGAGGAAAAGATATTAGCTCGTGTGAATTCATAACACTCAGCTCCTTCTTGGAGATGGGAAAACTCGGAGGCAGAAAATACCGTAAGCAATTCCTAAGCAAGAAAGAAGGTGAGAATGAGAACTTGGAATAGTGTGATGTGGAGTGTTACTGTCAGCCCAGAGAAGAAAGCCAAAGACACAAACCGGAGAATCTGGACCAGCAAGTCAATGGTCTCATGGCTGGTGTTTGGGGCAGTGGTATCTGGCTCTATGCGGGCACAGTCAGAGGTAGAGGGCTCCACCAAGGCCACAGGCTGCTGGACCAACACAGCCTCCTCCTCTTCTCCACATTCTTGCTGTGTGTCAGGGCTTTGATACTCTGGAGAAGGTGGCTTCATCAGCCGCACGTCTTCACTGCCTTTCTCCACCCTATGGGGCACAGAGCTTGTGTCAGGACATCTTGGGATCCTAAATGCTGCCTCCTCCCTTTGTCCTCGCTGACCTGTTCCTGGCCTCCCAGAAAGGGGCATTACCAGCGGTCTCTTGGCGTTGTGTCTGTAGGCACGTAGTCAAACTTCACCTTCCACCGTACCACATTCTTGCCCAATTCTACAGCTGTCACACGGCCAGTGTACCACTCCTTATTCACACGAACCTCTACGTGCAGCCCTTTATCTGAGAATTCAGAAGCAAGAGATCAGAGAACTAGATTACTGTCTCCATTTAGCCAGGTGGGGGAGTTGGAGCACAGAGCCCCAGATGTTTGCCTTACTGCCCCAGGGACCCAGTCCACCACCCTTCACCTGACACGAGGCTGCTGGGAAGCAAGAGGATGAGTGAACATCAAAGGATTAAGTGTTTAAAAAAAAAAAAAAAAAGCCAGGCATCATGGCATACAATTAAAATCTCAGCACTCAGAAGGCTGGGCAAAAGGATCACAAGTTCAACAACAACAAGTTCAAAGCAAGCCTGACTATATAGGAAGACTATCTCAAAACAATACTACACATGCATAGTATTCATGAGAGCATGTGTGCGTGCACACGCACACAAAAAGATCATACAGTGGGGTTGAGAACATGGATGGTTCATTGATAGAGCAAGGCCCTGGGTTTAATCTCCAGTACAAGCAAAACAACAACAACAACAAAAACCCTGCAAAGGGGATATTAACTTTGGAATTCTGCTTGGGATTAGACTGAAATCACTTGCTGCATCAGGCCCAAGCCTAAGCAAGACCTCTAAGCCTTCTGCAGCAAACTGCTACAAGTGAAAGATCTACTGCTATTGCAGGCTGTGGGGACCTCTCCAAGCTCACCTTTCTGAGCATTTTTGAGTTCAGCTTGGTCCTCTTCCCCAGCACTGTCTGATTGCTGCAAGGAGGCATCTCCAGTGACCTGCAAAAAAGACTTCTGTATTACTGGCCACCCACAGTCATCGGTGTGTCTTTTGGAGCTGCAGTTTCACTCTCTAAAATCATAGTGCTAGGACATGTCATCTTTAAAATAGGTAGGGCTGGGAAGGTGGCTCAGTGGTAGAGCGCTTATCTTGCATGCATGAGGCCCTGGGTTCGATTCTCCAGCACCACATAAGCAAAAAGAAAAAAAAGCCAGAAGTGGTGCTGTGGCTCAAGTGGTAGAGCGCTAGCCTTGAGCTGAAGAGCTGAGGGACAGCGCCCAGACCCCACGACCAGACCCCAAAATAAATAAATAAAATAAATGTGGTAATCCCCTCTGTACATCACCTTTATTATAATAATAAAAAAAATTAAGGCATAAGGCATATCACAGACATGGGGAAAAAGTGATCCCTGGGGGCTGGGAAGGTGGCTCAGTGGTAGAGTGCTTGCCTAGCATGCACGAAGCCCTGGGTTCAATTCCTCAGCACCACAGAAATAGAAAAAGCTGGAAGTGGCGCTGTGGCTCAAGTGGTAGAGTATTAGCCTTGAACCAAAGAAGCTCAGGGACAGTACCCAGGCCCTGAGTTCAAGCCCCAGGTCTGGGAAAAAAAAGAAGTGATCTCTCTGGACCCCACCAGGTCACCAGTTGAGCTCTGGGCCTGTCATTAGAGCCACTCTCACTCTCAGTCTTTCCTGACACTGCATTTGTAGTCATCTGGTTGACTAAGAATCCTTCAGAGTCCTAGGTTTGTGGAAGGCTCAGATCATCAACACAATGGGAGCCAGCACAGCCAGCACACAGCCACAGAGAGGGAGGCTTTGAGAAGCTCATCTCAGTTACCCACCTCATTTGATTCCTTCTTTTCCTCCTTCACAGCAAACTTGCCCCGTTTGCACCTCTCCTTCCTCTTCTCAGCTTCTTCCTCAGTATCTTCCTCATCAGAGATCACAAGACTCCGCTTCCGATTAGCCTAGTGTAAGAGAAGAGTGGGAATGTGAGGGATTGTGAGGTGTAAAGGCACAGGAAGATTCTGTGTGGCTAAAGGAGGCTATTCCCAGAGGGGACTGCACCCTGTCCCTACATGACTCTACTCAGTACACAGGTAAGCAACATCCTGGCTCTTGTACCATGAGGAACTTTGCTCAGAGTTTGTTCCCTGATTGCCTGCCTGGCTAGCCAGTTGTACACTCCCTGACACATGCTGACAACTACTACAGCCCACTAAAGCCAACTGTCCCCAAGCCACTAACCTCTGCCTACACTATGAAAAGCCAGTGCTAGTGACTCCATTTGTGGCACATCAAAGCTTAGGCAGGAAGAACTCCCTGGATAGGGAACCAAACCTACTCCATGTCTCTGAGCAAGTCCTTTTAGCTTTCTTGTTCTTTCTCCCTCCTCAGGGCAGCAGAAAATCTGCTAGGTTTGGTGACTTTCCTATGGCTCCTCTAGTACAGCTTTGACACTGCACGATTCTATTCCTATAACACCTGCAGTAATTAGGGGCCTGGAGGAGTCAAAGCATCTCACCGCGGAGAGTCTAACTGGCGGCTCTGGTTTCTTGACCACTGGATTCTTAATGGCTTTGGGGGGAGGGATCTCTCGAGGGTTCTTGGAGTTGGGCAGTAGAGATGATGGCGATGGCTGCACCACAGGGGCAGGCCGGGATGCAGCCTTGATGGGAACACTCAGAGGCTTTCGGGGTGGATCAGCTGAATTGAGCAGCCTGGAGGTACTGGCTTCTGCCCGGGCTGTCAGAACAGGAGGCTTTGGGGAGCTGCTGATGACAGGAGCCTTTCGAGATTGATTGGTTAATCTGGCAGTCTGCAGGGAAGGGGGTCTGCTCGGGGCATTCTTGATCACAGCAGGTAATGGGGGCGACCGAGGACGCTGAGATCTCCGCGCAGGTTCCTAAAAAGAGTCCATGAGGAGCAAGAACACTGATACCAGCATAACAAGAGAGGAAGAGCCCCACCATGTCCTGGGCTTTACCTCAGTGGACGGTCTGGTAGTCACTTCTAGGGGTAATTTCTTCAGGTCAGCTTGTGAGCGGATAGGTGTGGTTTTCTGCAAGCAAAACATATGAAGTTGTACATCTTGGTACATTGAGTCCAGAAAGAGTTCAACTCTTTTTGGACCTTCACTATGTGTCCCAGACAGTAAATAGACAAAACCTGAGTCAAAACATAGTCCTGACAAACCTCCTACTCTTACTGGAGAGTCAAAAACTACATGAAGTCTAGACTATTTGCAATTACATGATACTATGAGACTGATGCAGCAACTGAGAGACAGGGAAAGTATCAATGGACAAACTTCTCTAAAATGAGCCACAAAAGGGGGAAAAGGCCTAACGGAAGAGGAAAACTTTTTCTGACAAAGCCAGAAAAAACAAGTGAGTTTCAGCAGATGGAGGGTACACATAAGTTAGAGCACTGCTTAAAGCCAGAAAGGAAAACGCTCTGTGTAATCGACACAATAGAAAAAAAAAATCTTTAAAAAAATCTAGTAAATAGCTCAAGAAAATAGAAAACAATAAATGTTGATGTAATAAATTTAAGAATTCTAAAAGAAATACAAGTGTACATACAAAGAAATTGTCCAATGTTAAAAATGTAAAAAAAAGCCAGGAAGTGGCGCTGTGACTCAAGTGATAAAGCACTCGCCTTGAGCTGAAGAATGCAGGGACAGCGCCCAAGCCCAGAGTTCAAGCCCCATGACCGACAAAAAAAAAAAAAAGAAAAAGAAAAAAGCCAGGTGCTGGTGGCTCATGCCTTTAATCCTAGCTACTCAGAAGACAGATCTGTCAATTGTGGTTTGAAGCCAGCCTGGGCAGAAAAATCTGTGAGACTCTTTTCCCCACTACCAAAAGAGCTGGAAGTAGAGCTCAAGTACAGTGCTAGCCTTGAGCAAAAGAAGATCAGGGACAGTGCCCAGGCCCCAGGACTGACACAAATAAATAAATGAAATTAAAATTACAAGATGGGTATCTTTGCCTATCTTCTACATATGCAGAAATTAACTTTGGGAAGTTCTGCAAACTTTTTTGAATTTCACATCTAGAAACTCATCAAGAAAGATAAACAGTAAAAATATGTACATGCACATATATATTTATCTATGTGTGAATAAATACTATGTGATACATGAAAAATTAGAATGATATTTAGTTAAGAGTGACTGTATTTTCTGGAGTTATACTCTCTAAATAAACTGGACCACTTTGGAGCACATAAACAAAAAAGTTTGTTATTTGAAAAAATAAGCAAGGTGTACTTAAAAAACAGGATGTTTGGACCAGAAGCCCAGGTTGGAAAGCCTTGCTGAGCACACACCATGGAGAGCACATAGAGCCATTGAAAGCCACTGCCAGGCAGACACAACACAGGATGGCCATCTGCCCAATGCCCATGATCTACACACCTGAAGAGCCTCTAACTTCTCCTGCTGCTGGCGAATTTTCTCTGTCAGCTGCTTTTGCTTCTCTTCTTGTGTCTTTGTGTCCTTTTTCAATGTTCCCAAGGGAACCTTCTGCTTCTGTTCAGAAGCCTCACACCTGGAGAGAGAAGAGATTAGGGAGGTCATACCAGACAGAGCCCTGTTCCTCAGCCAACTCTGATGTCTCTCAAAGGAGAGACAGGAGCAACCAGCTGAGCTCCAGGGCATGGAACTGGCATGTACTACGGGACATACTCTTTCCTCCCTCCTGTGTGCTTATTATGTACAGCAAGACAGAGATTCAAGGATATGAGCAATGACCTTAAGAAACACCAAGTTACTTATCTCAAGAGTGGATGGAAAAGGGATGATTGGCTGGGTGTGCATGTGTATATGAGTTGGGAAGTACCTACAAACCCTATTAGGGCTCACCGGTCCTGCTCAGGATCAGGGTTCATGGAACAAACCCAGGTGTCAGGGTAATCTTTTTCCACTGAACTCATCTGGTAGGGGAGGGTTCTCCACTTCAGACACAAATCTGCAACAAAGAAAAACCCACAGATGTTCCAACAACACCCAACAGCAATATCTGGAGTCTTCCTCACAGCCAAGCCCAAGCAAAGATGCTCCAGACTTTTCACACAATGATCTTTCTTCTGGCTCCAACTCTGTTCTGTCCTTATAAAGCAGTAAATGTTTTGGGGGACAGTGATTAAAACAAGAATGAAAAGTTAATATTGTACTACTTTGGTGCTAGGGATTAAGCTCGGGTCTTTATGTATTCTAGGCAAGTGCTCCACCACTGAGCTACATCCCCAGCCCAGTATTCTGGGTTCTTAATGTCCCTAGCTTCTCTCCTGCCTGCCTCATACACTCAATGGTATAAAATCCATTGCACCTGGCCCAGCTGTGGTGGGAGAGGCCTGGAAGGTTAGGTGACTTTCTGCCTCATCTAGGAGGCACAGCCATAAGACTATACTTCCAGGACCACAGCCAATCAGATCCCTAGTAGGAGCCAAGTCAGACCAGAAAGGCAAGCACTGTGATGGACAGAGAGGTAGGTGGACTACTATGCAAAAAAATCAGAAGAGGGTTCCAACCACTCAACTCACCACACTGGATAGTGGTTGGGATTTCCATAGCTCTCCGGCGTTTGAAACGCAACTCACTAGATGGGGGCTGGTTCCAGTTGGCAGAAAGATAGCCAAAATCATCCCAGAACTTGATGATTCCACGCTGGGCTGTAAGGTAGATACAAACCTGTCACATTAGGAGCCAATCTCACCCTCTTCTGAAATTCACCCTCTCAGGCTATCAGAGCATCTTAAAGCTACAGGTAAAGAGAAAAAGGGCAGAAGCCCAGGGGCCTGACCCCATTACCAATGGCAATGTCCTTCCAGTACTGTGCTAGGTGCTCCCCCATTGCCCGAAGCAGGTGCCGGTACTCCTTGGCATCAGCAAAGTCCTGCTTGTTGTGCGTAGGCTCCAAGACCAGGTAGGGCACATCAACGACCCCAACAACCCCACCACATGCCCTGCACAGAGAAAGCAGACACAGCTGTCACCTCACTAACCAAAGCCCTGCATCCATATCGGGCTGGAAAGGTCCCCGGAGGAAGTTTACTCACATGCCCCCTTCCAGCTGTGGGCCTACTTTCTCATACATCTTGATGAGGCGGCTACAGTTATAGATGAACATACCATCAAGGTCTCGGTGTTCAATGTTGACACCAAAAACAAAATTTAATTCCTTAGGTTCTTTGAGTGCTCTAAGAAAGAAAAAAAAATCAGATAGATATGGTCAAAAACACAAACACCAAGGTGATAAAGATGGTTAAGCTTAAACTTTAGATACAGTAAACCAAAAGAACAAGAACGCGGGCTGGGAAGGTGGCTCAGTGGTAGAACGCTTGCCTTGCATCCATGAGGCCCTGGGTTCGATTCCCCAGCACCACATAAGCAAAAAAAGGAAAAAACGCTGGAAGTGGCGCTGTGGCTCAAGTGGTAGAGCGCTAGTCTTGAGCTGAAGAGCTGAGAGACAGCGCACAGGCCCAGAGTTCAGGCCCCACGACCAGACCCCCCCAAAAAAAACAACAAAAAAACCAAGAACGTATCTCCAAGAGTCAATGTGTTATGTATTAGATTTGCTAAGAATCTGCATTGTGCAATGACTCTAGCCTTCCGTAACTAAAACTATACAGTTTTTCATTTTTTTGGCAATGAAATAGGAATGGACTATTAATGGGTTAGTATGAAGCTGCTGTAAATCTTTGCAAAGATAGTTACATGGTAGAACACAAAGTTACTTCATTCCTTCTCTGACTCTCCACCAATTAATTCTCTATAGTGACTTCTTATTGTGGTGGCTTCTCTGAGTCATAACCTTGCTATGTAGCCCAGGCTGGCCTCAAACTCACAATTCTCCTGCCTCAAGCTTCCTAAGTGCTAGCATGTACCACCACATCCTCAGTTCATAAATCAACTTTCTGGAGAGCAATGCTGGGGTCTGAATCCAAGGCCTCACACTTGCTAGGCAGGTGCTCTATCTCGAGCCATGCCCTCAGCCTTGGTAAATTAATTTTTGAGGACAAAAATTTAAAAACACCTATGATACGACCACATGATTGTGTCAAAAAAATCTTGGAACAGAAAAGCAGATCGATGAGCAATGGAATGACTTAGATGGAAGAAACCTGAAACCTAGACCTAGGGCAAGGAGACCAACCAGAAGCAAACCAGCAATTCATGCCTCAGAACCCAGGCAGCTCCACACAGAGCTGGGACCAGGGACAAAGAACTACTATCATGGCCCAAGGCAACACATTCTAAACAAGAAAGTCAACTTATATCAGTATGCCACATTTGTAGCCAATGAGGGCAGAATAAATTATGAATATATGCAACATAAAAGATTAAGAGAAGATATTACCAGGTGGTAGAAGCGTAAGTTTTAAAATTTTTTCCTTAAATGTTATACAATGAGTGTTTTGTAGAACCAGAGAGAGAGAGAGAGAGAGAGAGAGAGAGACAGAAACAGAGACAGAGGTGATTCAGAACTAGCAAACGTGGCTTGGTGGTTCAAGGTGTCAGGTCTGTCCTTTCTCATACAGAATCAAAGACTGAGAGAGAGCTCAAGGTTAGACCTCTGTCCTAAAAGGGGATTTGACAAGCATTTGGGATCACAATATTCATCATTTTCTCAAAGTAATCCTACTGTCACAATGGCAAACTGGCCATCAGTACAAAAGGTATGTAACTTTAGAAGACCAAAGGAAAGTCCAAGAACTCACCGTTGTTTGGCCTCCTTAATCCTCTTCTTGACATCAGCTTCTCTACGAAGGGTGATGGCGGTGTTCTGAACCTGCCGCAACATCACCTGGCAATACAGTATTACGGCATTATATCTAAAAAAATCTCACCGATATGGATGCAAAACCACATCTACATATTTCCTGCTTTCTGAAGAAAATGGCTGCCAACAGAGACAAACCTGTAGTCTATTTTGTTTGACCAGGCAGGCTAGCTTGCCATGGGCTCCTAGTGCTAGAAACACTAGAGAATAACACAGGGCTGGGGCCTTACCCTAGAGTCCCGCGTGAGGTCTCCACCCAGTCGTACTTCTAAAGTCCGAGCTTTGCTCTCTGCCTCCCGAGCCTTCTCTTCAGCTGAAAACCAGAAGAAATCATAAAGAATATTTTTTGGGGGGTCCGGTCATGGGGCCTGAACTCTGGGCTTGGTTACTGTCCCTCAGCTCTTCACCTCAAGGTTAGTGCTCTACCATTTGAGCCACAGCGCCACTTCCGGCTTTTTTTTTTTCTGCTTATGTGGTGCTAAGGAATTGAACCCAGGGCCTCATGCATGCAAGGCAAGCGCTCTACCACTGAGCCACGAGGGCTTAGGGGTATGGGGCTTAAGTGGTAGGATATTTACCTATTAATTTAAGTTCAAACCCCAGTATTGCAAAAAAAATAAGTAAGTTCAGAGGTTCCAAGTTGTCCTTCCTTTTAGATTCACAGAACAATCACTGCTACACAAGAAGTGTGAACAGTCACTGCTACACAAGAAGTGTGTACAGCAACAACAGCTGCTGGGTAATGAAGGAAAAGCCTCCAGGATTGAGCTGCAGAGTTGCTTCAGAAAGGAAAATCTGTCATTCAAAAGATCATAGAGGCACAAGGGATGACTCATGGCTGCAGTCCTCCAGCTACTGGGAAGGCAGAAATAGGGAGGATCAAGGTTGAAGGCCAGCCAAGGCAAAACCTTAGCAAAACATGCCCCTTCCCCTCTTTATCAATAAGTCTATACCTATGGTGGTCTGTACATATGATCCCTGCTATGCAGAAGGTTGGAGGCAAAAACAAAAAAACAAAAAAAAAAACACTAGAGCTTACCTGAAAAATAGCTAAAGCAAACAAAATTTTTTAAAGGTTGGGGGTTTTAAAATGCCTGCCAAGCAAGCATAAGGCCCTGAGTTCAAACCCAAGTATCACTAAAAAAATAATATTAATGGAGAGCTCAAGGGATAGATGCTATTTATACTTGAAGTGTGCTTTTTCAAACTTCACAAAAAACACTCCAGGCAATACGAGTTAAACCTTCAGCATAAACTGGAGGCTAAAGAAGTCTTCAATCACTCCTATCAAGCAGCTAAGAAGACAGCTGGGAGCCCTGGGGATACACCTTGAGATTTCTGCCCCGGAGCCAAAAAAACACAATTAAATGAGTATTTGGGACAGGAGGCAGTGTAGGATTCTTCTTGACACTTAAGTCTCTATAAATGATGAAGGAAGGAGAGTAGAGTCTGGAGAGAAAAGTGCTGAGGGGTTGGACATGAGGCAATAGTTGCAGAGGAACTAGTTTTGAGCAGCTTTGTCCCTGGCTGGCTCCCCACGTGAACCCCACTCACCCAAACCCTGCCCAACACAGGGAGTGGCATTACCGATCCGAGCTACGTGCTCCGCTTTTTTCACCTCCTGCTCTGCACGGGTCTTGAAACGGCTTGATGTGTACTTGTACATCCTGAACAATGGAAAAAGCAATCTAAGGGCTGAGGAGCAGGGGAGCCAGTGGCCAGCCTGAGCAGCTTCCTTCTACAACCCTTGTGATGAAGCAAATCTGAGCTTATTTTATCCAAAAAGATCATATTTCTGTGTCTTTGCTATTCACCTGGGTGTTGTTAATTTTACATCAGAAGCAAGCCTCCATTGGTAAGTGATGCCCTTTGCTTTCTGTGTAGCACTGCCCTAAGAGCTTACTCTGCCATTTTTTACCTCAAAAGGGTCAGGCCAGCCGACTTCTTCAATTGACCCTTCACCCCTGCCTCTCCCTCAGGACCCAGTGACTCTGGCAAATCATAGGCTGGCCAAACACAAACAGTCCCTCACTCACACTCCATCACTCTCAAAATGTAGCCAGGCTCTGTCCTCAGCCTAAACCAAGGTAGGCAGGCCCCTACCTAGGATTGTACAGGCAGCAGGAGAGCCTCTTGGTCTGCACCTTGTGTCCATGGATAAATATCCTCATTCGTGGATCAATATAGAGCACAGCAGCATAGGCACGGAAAGAGCGCCTCTCTGGCTTCCTGGAGGCAGAAAGGAGCGATGTCATTTGTCCCACAACAAACCCAAGTGAGTCCAACCAAGGCCTCTCTACAGGGCCCCCCTCCTCTCCACCTCACATTTTGTCATCTCTTGCTGGCCTGAGGCAGAGTGCTCCCTCAACATGGGCACTAGGCCTGGTCATGTCTCCAGCACAGGTGGCCCAGGGACAGCTCACCTGCCCTAGCATTGCCATTACCAGAGACACGGGGGCAATCTTCTTCCCTAGAGTTTCTTCTGTTAAATCATTACTCTTAGTTTAGTGTTTTGCTTACTCTCCTGCTACACAGCCCTGATGCTTTGTGGCAAGTAGGCAGGCAGCTCTCAGCTCCAATAGCTCTGGTGCAGCCACAGAGAGAAATCCAGAGGAGGATTTCAGGGAGAATTTCAGGCTTGCCACACTTCCCCAGCCATACTCACGTTCCCTCTGGGGAGGTCTCTGCCATCTGGATATCTTTCGGATTTGAGACTATGTCTAGTTCGGGCTCTCCATTGTCCATGAGTTTGAGATTAAAGATAATCACCAGGGTTCCTAGGGAACAGAAATCCTTCTATTCTGCCAGCCAACCCTGGCCCATGCCACTTGTGGCCATGGAGATCCTGGATTCTAAAGGCTGCAGAGGCTCAAAGCCTTCTTACCGCTGTTCCCAGGAATCTTCATGAACTGAGTCATCACTTCCTCCTCAGTGCGGAAAGGAGAATACTTGTAGATGAGTTCTGTCTCAATGGCAAACTTTTCTACATTGTCTGTGACAGGTTCCCGGGTCCGAGAATTCCAGGTGGGCAATGGAACTATCACCTTTGGAGTAAGCACAGGTGCACTCTGGGAGTAAGGAACCAGAACAGCCTTCCCCCAAAAGAGGCAGCCATCTGGTCCCTTCCCATGATTCCACACAGCCCAGAGTTAAGGCCCATGCACTGAAGTCTAGCAGAGAGCTTCTGTGGCTTCTTCACCACACAATCTTCTAAGATTCATAATGGTTTATGTCCAGCTGCAAGGGCAATTGCCTGCTTGGGATATCCCTGACTACTTTCTTAATTTCGTTTAAAATATTACTCTTATAGCTAAGAAAAACATACTTGCAATTACCTAGTGAATCTAAAACTGCACATAATCTACAACTCAACAATTCTACTCCTGAGTAAATACCCTATATCTTCCAGGAAACTTTACATATGTACCTACAAACAGGTGTAGGAATAATAAATATGCACTAAAGACCAGATATATTAAATTATGGAATATTTAGCCAGAGAATCACATAGCAATGAAAATGAACACACTGACAACTTGGCATCAAACATGGATGAATCTCAAAAACAATGTTAATGAAAGAAGGTACAAAAAGTGACTTCATTTATGTAAAACTAAATTAAAATTGTAAACTACTATTTATAGATGTATACAAAAAAGAAGAACACGATCATCCCCAAAAAGACTCAAAGGTGTTCCCTCCAGTGGCAAAGTTAGGAATTTGATTGGTGAGAAGGTTACAGGGAACTTCTAACACTTGTTATAATGGCAATTATGAGTGCTGAGTTTATAGTTATACTCTCAAATGTATATTTATTTTAATACATTCTTCCACATGTATAGATTTTGCTTCTAAGTAATGTTTTTAAAAATATTATCTTTCTTAGAACTCCTACTTCAAACATTACTCCCCCTAATTATGCCAACCCCCATGCAGAGTCCAGTAGAGTATAACAATCTAGTTGAGGTACCTCAGGGGTCTGAGCCAGATGGCCTATCCTTATACAAAGGGACTCTGTATCTCCACAAGTGCCAGGATGATAAACTGCTAAGAGTTCTGAAACACTGCTGGTTTCTAAGAAGCTTCCTGCTGAAAGCATTCAACCACAGGGCTGGTTTGGACACATTCCACCTAGGCTAAACTATGATCTTTATTTTGAAATTTTGGCTGAGTTCACACTAGAGTACAATCCAAAATAGTGACCTTCTAGCACCAAGTAAGGAAAAAATTTCAACCTAGCTTTTCCACCAATAGAAGTGAGTGCCATTTATGTTCTATGAACTTGTATCTTCATTTCCATTCTTTATGGCAGCAGCTGGTGACAGCGGCATCAGTTTAGACTGTGGGCACTCCTTTCCACAAAGGCACTCACTTCTACTGGGCACTCTTCCTTCAGTTTCAATGTCACATTCTCCTGCTTTTTCTCCTACCTTTTGTGTCCTTTGCTGCTTTCTCCTCTCCCCAACCTTTCTGTACTGGCCTACCCAGTTCCCAGGTCTTCTGCTCACTCCCCTCTCTGCTTGAGCCCAAACCTCTCCCAAGTCCAGACTCAGACTTCACTTACACAAGCTTACACTCTCCCTTCCAAACTGCCCCCCTGCCATTCTTTCCCAGCTCTGAATAGTACACCATCCCCAACTGCCACACCAGATCCTTTAAGTCATTCCCAACCCCTCCTTTATTTCTCTCACCACCCCTGCTATGTATGATTCCCACTGGGAAAGCACAGCCAGGGTTTCTCAGCTGTCCACTTCAACATTTACACACATCTCCATCTTTGTAAGCTGATCATCACACAGTAACCACACAGACTTTGATGAAGGTATCTGACACTAGCACACTCTTGCTTAATAAAACCCTACTCACTCAACAAAGCCCTGAGGTAAAGCCTCCCTGCTCCCAGAGACCCCCTGAGCAGCCCCACCCTCACCAGACCTGAGGGCCTGGAGCAGGCTGTTACACAGACTTGAACAGTTCTCCACCAGGAAACATTACTCAACACCCCAGTCCAGGCTACGTTGTCCTGTCCTACTTTCTCTAGAAAGCCTGTTTTTTGTTGCTATAGCATACCTCTCACTCCAGGTATGCTGACTGAAGTGACATACTGCACCAAAAAGATGGAAAAATCCACAGGCTTGCTAAGGAAAGACAGTAAGAAAAGATAGGCTGCCACTCTCAACATGAAATAGTTTACTATGTCTTTTTTTTTTTTTTGGGTCCGGTCGTGGGGGCTGAACTCTGGGCCTGGGCGCTGTCCCTCAGCTCTTCAGCTCAAGGCTAGTGCTCTTTTGGTTTTTTTCTTTTTGCTTATGTAGTGCTGAGGAATTGAACCCAGGGCCTCAGGCATGCAAGGCAAGCACTCTACCACTGAGCCACTTTCCCAGCCCACTATGTTTTTTTTTTTAATTTAACATAATTTTAGGTCTCAACAGAACCAGTACAAATTCACTCACAACTAAACAACAAGGAAGACTTAGACTGACATTCTGAATTTGACTATCTGCACTATGGACTTCTTTCTACAAAACTTCTCTCAAGCTCTGACTTCTATTACTCACACATGGAGGGAGGTAAGTCCAGTCAGAGGCTAGACACAACTTTCCTGTTCCCCTCAATTAAGAAACAGCTCTGCAGATATCTGAGCTACCTAGCCACCAAGAGAAGCAACTGCGTATGTGTGTAGCTTACATCATTAATTACTAAAATGTTTTTAAAATAAGAATACGCTGGGGGCTGGGAAGGTGGCTCAGTGGTAGAGCGCTTGCCTTGCATGCATGAGGCGCTGGGTTCAATTCCTCAGTACCACATAAGCAAAAAAAGAAAAAAGCTGGAAGTGGCGCTGTGGCTCAAGTGGCAGAGCGCTAGCCTTGAGCTGAAGAGCTGAGGGACAGCTCCCAGGCCCAGAGTTCAGGCCCCACGACTGGACCCCCACCCAAAAAAAAAAAAAAAAATACACTGGATTTATTAGGCCGTTCTTCCAGCAGCCACTTCTGAAGTAAGACCAGGAGGCAGCTGCCACTTCCACTGAACTCACAAATGATGGTTTCCATTCTCTTGTCCACTTCGCTACCTGTGAGGGCTTTGTAGGTGTCTGGTCTGGGACTTCTGATATAGGCTATATCAGAACAACATGTTCCCTCAAAAGGACAACACAATGCACAAAATTACCATTATACTGTTATCTACTATTATTGTATGCTATGACTTCACCCAGAGCCAGGAAAGCCCCCCAAAATTCCTCACAGCTAACACAGAAAACACAGCTCTACACAAGTGTTAGCCTGTACAGATGAGAACCAAAGGATGCTGCAGGTCTAGAGGAGCTGCAAATCCAACTCTTGGCTCCTGCCACTTGATGGCCTGATTCTCAGAAACAGAATAGCACATCAGTGCTTTGAGATTTGATTTCTTGCCCCTAACAGTGACTTATGACTACAACCCAGCCCAAACCACTGGAAACAGGACTGGAGGTGTAGCTTAAGTGGTACAGTGCCTGCCTAGCAAATGCGAAGCCCTAAATTCAAATCCCAGGATCTCACATACACACAAAAGAGAGCTTTTGCTTCCTCTCACAATTCATGCAACAAGCTAGTCCCATAACAATGACTATGTGCTACAACCCTGTAACCCCAGGAATCTGCAAGTGGCAATTCAGGCCACAGGGATGTGACCTACTTCATCAATGCCTTCTTCCTCATGAAAGGTGCGGGACAGGAAGAGACAGGTCATGGTATCTTCTTTCTTGGTGAAGAGAATAAAATCTTTCCCAATACGCATTGAGCCTCTTTACAAAAAGAAAGGAGAAAACTGGTTATTCTTCCAGAAATTCAATTCTCATCCTTAAGAGGAATAAACCACACCCCCAACCCCACCATGTGACTGAAACTGAGAGCTCTCTTCAAGGCCTCTAAGCTGAGTTCCACAGCTCTTGTTCAGTCTTCATTCATTCAACACTCTTTCCTTTGCTTTTCTGATAGCTTGTAATTCCAACTTTCTCAACCATACCTAGCCTCCACATAGGGCTCTTTCCATCGTTCATTTTTCCATCTCTCATCTTTCCATCTTTTCAGATATTTATTACTGGCCACAAGCCTCATATTAGTCGGATTCTTAGCTTATCACCACAAGATGAACAGTAATTGCCCTTGAGTTCAGAGTTCATCCCAGCCACACGAGGTCCACTGTGCGCTCTATGCCATTGGATGCCATTTTATTAGGTAGCACCATGAACACATCATCTCTCTGTGTGGGCCACACTCAGTTTCCATTCTAGCCTTCCTTCACTAGCACAAACATGTCTCCTGTCCACTTAGCAAATGGCAGCACCATCAATGGAACAGTTCAATATTTATGCTCATGCGTGTTCCAAAAGCTAGAATGAAGTCAAGGCTCAAGCAAACACTGGGTCCTTTGACAACTGTGTTCAAGGAGGACTACGATTGGCTGATGTCCAATAACCACAGCCATCCTCTGTCTCAGAATGGCTTTGACGCCTTGAGCTCCTTCGGACACAGGCAGGTCCTTACTTTCAGATGCTGCCAGTTTCTGGGAACTGAGCCTTCCACAAGCAAAAACGTCTGGAATTGATGGTTTCCTTCCATCTTAGCTACATTAATCCTTCTGGGGAGCAGGCAGGGACAGGCCTTACTAGGTAGCATGAGGAAGAGCAGAAGCATGAAGCATTAGGAGGAGAACTGCCTACTCAATAGGAAGGCTGTTTAGCTTCTTTCTTCTGAGCAGCTTCTGGGGCTTTATGGCTATTATCTCATTAGTCCTCACAACATCCCCAGGAGATGACAGAGGTGGAAGCCTTGTTACTCTCATCTGAGTACAAATACAAACCAGACTAGCATGCCAAGCACACAAATGAATGTCATGCCCCATTTCTCCAAACAGAAAAACTCCTGGGACACTCTCTAGAGATGTCCTAGGGGCTGCCAAATCCTGTTTCTTTTCCTCCTCCAGCACCTGGGGGGTTGGCAGAGCTCCTTCCTCTTTAATTTCACATTTCTCCTTCTTCACTCAAGCTTTCAGAGTAGCCTTCTGAAAAAGCTTATGCTTGCTCTAGCCTGGCAAAGTCTCTCTCTCTCTCTCTCTCTCTCTCTCTCTCTGTGTTCTTTCCTCTTTGATGCTTACTATAGATAGGGCCTTGATACCAAGAACCCCAAAACCTGATGGTTTCTCACAAGTCACCTTTTCCTGGTACTCTTTTCCAACTCCTGAACTGTTAGTGTTACATTGTCCATAACAGACACTAGGTGGCTCCCATTTTAATGGAACCTGCACTAGTCTATTGAATATATGTGTTCTTTTCCAGTCTTCTATGCCCTTCTGAGTTGCATTTCACTTACTCCTAAACCTCCCTGTGTAAGAGAGAATGTCAGAGGCCAAAACATCTTTTTCCCCCCCTGGTTGTAGAGCTTGAATTCAGGGCCTGGGCACTGTCTTTGAGCTCTTTGGCTCAAGGTTAGTGCTCTACCACTTTGAGCCACAGCTCTACTTCTGGTTTCTGGTGGTTAATTGGAGATCAGAGTCTCATGGCCTTTCCTGCCCGGGCTGGCATTGAACCACGATCCTCAGATCTCAGCCTCCTGCATAGCTAGGATTATAAGCATGGGCCACTGGGACCTGGCCCAAACCTCATTTTCTAGATTAGGAAAGATACCCTCAGAAAAATGAAACTGAGCCCCTGAGAACTGATAGGACAAGATAGATAAAGGCAAACCCTCAATCCAGTTGGGAAATCAGACTTTCCACTGACTCTAGAAAAACCTGAGTTTTAGATCACCTGTATGAGAACCCCCTGGAGAATGTTCCCAAATGATTCACTTCATTTGTGAAAAACACAGTTCCCTTGGTCCTATCAAGACTTACTGAGTACCAGGCACAAGAGGCTCATACCTGTTATCTCAGGAAGCTGAGACTCAGGAAACTGAAAGATCATGGTTCAAAGCAAGCCTGGGCAGAAAAATCATTAAGAATCCATCTACCAAAACTAGAGGCATCACTTAACTGGTAAAGTGCCAGCCATGAGCAAAAAAGTTGGGCAAGAGCAAAACACCCTGAGTTCAAGCCCCAGAACTAACAACAACAACAAAAAAAAAACAGTAACAACAACAACAAAAGACTAACAACAAAAGCCCTCGCTTAATTAGAGTAAAAGCCTGCTATGGCAAGATCTGAAGAGACAGAAGCTAGAAACCAGACCAGGGACTCTCACAGCAATGATAGCAATTAATCTTTAATTGTTTGTTATACATTATAATCTCCATTTACAAAAAAAGAAACTATAGCTTACAGAAATGGGTATGGTTTGAACCTTACTTTGTCTTATTGAAATGAACATCAGCTTCCATTTTGCAGTTAGAAAGACCTGATTCATAGCCTAGCTGTCCAAATAGACACTTAAAATTTTGGGCAAGTCACATCACCCACATAAACCTCCATTTCTTAATCTGAAAATGGGAATACAGTCCCTGTGTATCATTGGGTGATAAAGATTAAGTGCGACCACCGAGGTGAGGTTTTTAGCAGGGCCTCACCTAGGGTAGGTTCTTATTATTACCATCTGGTTTCTAACCTTGTGAAAGTCCAGGAACCAGGTCCCTGATTTCTTTGGAAGCACTCTCTTTCTCCTCCACACCAGAAGCACATGGTATATGAGGCCCAATAATGGCTGTTGATAGATCCTCTCTCAAAACAACCCGTTTCCACAGCATGACTAGAAACGTGACTCCTAATTCCATTTGTACACACTCCAATTCCACTAAATCTTATTCCATCGAAGGTATGTACAGCTGGAAATGAGCATTTCAGAAATAGAAACCTTTCTCTTGGGGTTTCACTCAAAACCAGAACAACACATTCCAAACACTTTATAAACAAGTGGGAACTAAGGGCTGAGGGAGAGGTCTCAGGGGAGCTGGAGACATGAGGTAAGGGCCTTTCAAGTTATGAAAGACCGCATCGACTGGGGGGAGGGCTTCTCTCTCACACACACTGGCTCCCCAGCACCCAGCACAAAGCATGACACACTGCAGGCCCTCAGAAACACTGTTATACCATAAGGTCAACCCCTTACCATCTTCTATGCATCCTAACCCCATAAAAGAATTACTCACATCCTCAAACACAGGAGAAGTTTCAATACAAGGAGAGACACAGTTCTAGAACACCATGCGGAGAGAAACACACAGCTTCTCCCTATCAACTTATTTTGAACACTTATGTTTTCCATTCTGTACAGCACACTGAGCTGGACAAGTAGTTATAAACTACCCCCAAATCATTTTCTGGAGTCCTGGTCATGAAAGGATTAGTGGGAGGACAGTAAGAGAAAGCTTCATGTGGTTTTGTTTTCAGCCCTGGGACAATCTTCTAGTATACTTACGATTTTAACCCATTTCCATACTGCCCGATCTGAGTGGACTCTGGTGTTCGCTTGGCTGACTTCCCAAACTGGATCACACTTGCAGCATCACCTGAAGTGGCAGACACAAGAGAAAGTGAGAAGTTAGTATTTATCTTCGAGGCTTCTCAAAGTCTAAAGTCTAAGCCTTGTTAAATCTAGGTTTGTGTGTGTTAAAACCTCTCTCCGAGGAAACTGGCAACCATGACTCACATGGAGGTCACATGCATGGCTTGTCAGTACCATGGGTGCACCATATTTTCTGTTACCAGAACACGGTAACAGGATGGGGGAGACCTCAGAATTTCTAGCCTCAGGATGTAGTACAAACAGATGAATACCACATCAAGAGACAGGTAATTTGACTTTAAGTTGCCATTCAGATTGTATCTCCTATGTTAGGGCAGGACCTAGCAGATCTACAGTGGAATTAAACTTGAGATGTCGCAACTGGTCTTCTTCTCAGGTTTCTCACTTCCCCTACAGCAACAGTGAGGCCATAGAAAACCACGTTTAATAGTAAGTGTTTTATAAAAATGGATATATCCTTCCCAAAAGAAAAACAATGATTTCATCACTTACTCGGATCCATTCCTGCTCCATCGTCCAAAAAGCAAAGCATAAATCCTCCTCGAAGGTCTTCTCGCCTTTCTATGAAAAGAAGTAGCTGCCATTAGTAGGCTGTTATTCACTAGAGGTCAGCAATATGGGTATGAACCGAAGAATCATCAATGTGAAGGTTAACACAAAAGGGTCAGGTCAAATCTATCTTCTCCTACTAGTCCTAGATAACGTAAATTAAATTTCAAAACCTTTCAGGGTATGAATCTTATCTCAAAGTTGTTCCAATGCTAATTTTTTTTTTTTTTTTTGGTCCAGTCATGGGCCTGAACTCTGGGCCTGGGAGCTGTCCCTCAGCTCTTCACTTCAAGGCTACCGCTTTACCACTTGAGCCACAGCGCCACTTCTGGCTTTTTTTTTCTGCTTATGTGGTGCTGAATTGAACCCAGGGCCTCATGCATGCAAGGTAAGCGCTCTACCACTGAGCCACCTTCCCAGCCGCAATGCTAATTCATGACAAATATTTGAGAGAATCTTTAAGAAGGTGGTACATACTACCTAGTCCAGGATCTAATCATACCAGAGACCACTGAGTATGTATAATTTCACACATAGCATCAGTCAGCCTTGTCTCTCAGCCTAGATTACTATCTGCCCTATGCCCATAATCAGTGAAGTACTCTATTACACACTGTACCTTACCTACACTACTCAACCTAAGTGGGTATCCCATTTTTTTTGTGATTATAATCTGGGAAAACTTTTATTAAAAAGGAAGCTGGCCATGATATGGTACAATGGAAGCAGCTGCCATCTAAAAGAATTACTATGTGACAACTAATATATGCTTCTCTCCAGGCCAACTACAGTTTGGGAGCTAATTGGTATCCATCATATTCCCTACTAGCAATGGGTCCTTGAAAGGGGATGAGATGACACCAGGTACAGTGGCTGGACCTGATTACAACAGTCTTCTGACAATAAGATCCAATAGCCAAGGAAAGACAGCCTGGCTGACACGAAGGAAACACAACAGATAGCAGCTGCCACTCCAATGGGAAGATTAAGAACTTCTTTTAGCAGATGTCTCCTGTAGCAACATGTGGGAACCCAAAGCAGTCTGGTCTAGCACGTCAAAGACAATGGAGAGTCAGGCTCATGTCTGTAATCTTAGCTACTCAGAAGGCTGAGATCTGAGGATCGCAGTTCAAAAGCGTGGTTCAGGGCTGAGAAGGTGGCTCAGTGGTTAAAGCGCTTGCCTTGCATGCCTGAGGCCCTGGGTTCGATTCCTCAGCACCACATAAGCAAAAAGAAAAAAGCCGGAAGTGGCGCTGTGGCTCAAGTGGTAGAGCGCTAGCCTTGAGCTGAAGAGCTGAGGGACAGCGCCCAGGCCCAGAGTTCAGGCCCCATGACAGGACCCAAAAAAAAAAAAAAAAGCGTGGTTCAAAGCCAGCCCAGGCAGGAAAGTCTGTGAGACTCTGATCTCCAATTAACCAACAGAAAGCCAGTAGTGGCACTGTGTGGTTCAAGTGGTAGAGTGCTCGCCTTGAGCTGAATTGCTCAGGGACAGCACCCAGGTCCAGAGTTCAAGCCCCACAACTGACCAAAAAAAAAAAAAAAGACAATGGAGAAGAGATTTCCAAACAGGGAAGGTGTTATACTAGATTCCAAGGTGCCTTTTGACTCAATAGTAGGTGCTAGTCTTGGAATTAGAAATATGGAGACATGAAAGCAAGCCTGAAACAGAGGTGGAGGAAGGGGACCCACATAAGCTAACATCAACCCAAGTAAAACTTGCTGTTCATGGTCCACTGTTTGGCACAGGGGCAAAAATAGCACTGCTAATAACAAGGAAGGAAATCTTTATGTATGAAAAGGACAAAGGTAAGGGTGCTTGGAGCCTCTTCACAACGGAGGGTTTTTTTTTCTCACACTTAGCTGTAGTTCACCAAATCTGTATAACTATTAATGCTGGCACATCTGCTTTAAATGCTCTTTGTCCTCCCCTCAGGCGAAAAATTCAAGTGAGCTGTTACTGCCCCCTGGCAAACAGACTGCTTAAAGTAATTTTAAAATGTTATTTTGAAAGGGCTATAAACCACAGAGATTTTCAAGTATCTCTTAGTGTTCAGGAAGCTGAATATGCATTACAAGTGCCTCTTGAAAGTTCAGGGTAGAGGGTCTTCCTGGAAGTACTACTGGTAGAGAAGAAAATTTTTCCCACTGTAATGTCTCCTATTACTGGAGAGTCCAAATGAGATGTGGCAAGCAAGAACATATATAAGAAAAGTTGGGGGGGGGGTAAGAAATGTACGCATTATCCTGCCCATGTAACTGTAACTCCTCTGTACAGTATGTTCACAAATAAAATTAAATTAAATTTAAAAAAAAAGAAAGAAAAGTTGGGGGGTGAGGAGAGGGACAATATCTGTGTTTCCATCTGGCAGAAGCAAAATGCCACACTGAGATTCAAACTAGCTCAGGCATGAAGTCTGCTGGCAATAGAGTTCTAACTTTAGCTTAGAGCCATTTGCATACACTATGCCATAAAAGGTATGTGAAACTCTAGGATCTAGAAATTGGTTTAAGCCAAATGCAACTGAAAAGTCCCCAAGATTACTGGCATCCCTCAAAGTACCTAAGAAGCTACTTTCTAGGCTTGCAAGCTGTTTCAGCACAATCATCACTTAATAGTGGGCTCAAGAGCTTTTTAATGTATTTTACAAGAGTAAGAAACCATATGGTAAGGCCGTATAACTACTGTACATGTTCAGGAGTGTCAAGGTCCATGGTACATGTAGTAATTCCTCAGGGCAGGAAAAGATTGGATAATTCAAAATTAACTTCAATTTATAAACAGATAGAATGATGTCTTCACCTGGTGGTGAGGTACATGTAAACCACTGGTTACCTAATGACTACTGAAAACCTCTTATGGCAGGGACAAGAGCAGTGACCAATACAGACAGATGTGCCCAGTGTCTTCATGGAGCTTGTAGTCTAATAATTCTAATTTCTGCCACTCTTTGCAGCACCTGAGATAAAGAACAGGAGTTGGCTAAAGGATAAGGTGGGGAAAGAAGCCACAAGAGCAAAGTGTAATGTGCCTAAGAACGTCCTGAAGAGCTTATAAAAATACAGAATCTGGGTTGGACCTTAGATAGTCTGACTGCACAGATCTAAGGTAGGGTCTGTGAATATGCATTTCTCCTGTGTTGAAATGTTTATGAGGGTGAAACACTGATATAGAACCAACAAGAAAACTAAGCAGTCATCCCTGCTCAAAACTATCTCCCCAGACAATCCACTACTTAATTAACTTGTGATGCTTCTGCCTCATATTCTCAAAGGTTGAGATTATGGGCAAGTACCAGCATACCAGCAAAAGGCTGAACTTCAAAACTCCTCTAACTCTTACAAAGTCTAGCTTCTCCAACCAAACCTGATATCCTTCCATTTAATTCATCCTGAGTTGGAAATAGGTGAAGAGCCAGGTGTATTGGTGTACACCTGAAATTCCAGCACTTAGGAGACTATGGTAGGAGGATCTTGACCTTGAGGCCAGCCTGGGCTATATAATGATACCCTGTCTTAAATGAAAATAAAAAAAGAAAGTGGAAAGAAATAAAACAGAGCTCTAAGTCAAAATTGTAGGTGATAAATAATGGTGTCCTTTACAGAAGTTGCTATGAAATGACAATCAAGTTCTTCATTTTATTCTGCAATCTTAAACTTCACATGCTCCAAATGAGCAGAATTGATTTATTTCACTTTCACTTATTTTCCATTTATTAACCATTGTCTTGGATCACAAAAGGGATCCCTCCTAAAGGAGTTGGTACTATGCTTCGAGAAAGGTAAGAAAGTCAATAAAAACTCAAAATCTAGGCCATATACCAATGGCTTACGCCTATAATCCTAGCTACTCAGGAGGCTGAGATATGAGGATCGAGGTTCAAAGCCAGCCCAGGCAGGAAACTCCGTGAGACTCTTATCTCCAATAAACCACTAGAAAACTGGAAATGGCGTTGTGGCTCAAGCAGTAGAGCGCTTGCCTTGAGCTGAAGAGCTGAGGGATAGCGCCCAAGCTCAGAGTTCAAGCCCCACGACCGACCAAAAAAAAACAAAAAGCAAAAACAAAAAAAACTGAGAACTATTACTTATGTGTACATCTTCATAGTCTGGCTGTAACTAATAAGATTTCTTTGGGTAAGTGAATATCTCTGTACTTTGAAAGACTGGCTCCTTTCTCTTCTTAGCTTTTTTTATTTTTTTGTTTTTGTGGGTTTTTTTTTTTTTTTTTTGCTTTTGTTTATTTGTTGTTGCTGGGGGTTTCTGTTCATTTTTAAAGACAGGTCTTACTATTTAGTTCAAGATGGATTGAAATTCACAATCTTACTGCCTCAGCCTTCTACTTCTAAGATTATAGTAGTGTGCTACCATGCTCAGCTTGCCCTTCTCAGATTAAATGAAGTCTTTAAAATGTGATTATTATGGTGACTTCAGTCCCTATGTTATATTTGAGGAGCTTCCCAAACACAATATCAATCTAGTTTCTGAAGAACAGTTCTTCCAAATATTCAGTTGTGAGTATTTATTACTGATATCACACATCTTTGTAGAGGCCCATCTTGCAATCTCAACGTACTTAGAGTTAAAACAAGTGTTCTTCCAAAACACTATGCTGCTTTCTGCTTCCATCATACCATTTAATCCTTAACTCTGACTGCTCCCTTAAGATCTAGTTACCATTCTCTAATGATTTGTAGTGTGTTAATTGTCTCTCCAATTAGAGGCTAAATTCTCAGAGCAAAGGCCTAATCTCATCCTCTATAAATTTCCCAAAGCACAACAGGAGGAACACTAAGCTCAGAACAAATGAGCACTGGACATTTTTCACTTAAATTGAAATCCAACTGTACTGCAGCATTCTGAGCAACAAGAACTAAATTTCCTTCTAGAAATTCACCCACTGAAGGTGGCGCAGGGGAGAAAGGTAATCTTTTCTTTTAAAGTTCTTACAAATATTCAGTTATGAGTATTTGTTGCTGATATCATACATCTTTGGAGTAAAAACCTATTTTTACTGCTTTATCATCTGTGCAGTGGTTAAAACAGCCTCTGTTCTTTTCAAGGTAACTGCTACCATTGCTGAAAGTACACTCAGGTGCAGGTTGGAAAAGGCACCCCTGGCTTTAGTAACCTTCTTAACATTCTTCTGTTGTACCCCTTGTTCCTGTTTCTAAATCAAAAAGGAATCACAAAGTGAGACCATGTCTCAAAAGTGAGACCACTTTCCAAAAGAGGACTTTCACAATTGAAGAAGTGCAGGTGATATGTACATGTTCTGAATATTTTCTTTGCTCCAGGCATATTAGGCATGAGAACTTCAGCATCTATCTGGAGATTCTCCATAATTATATGATACTAAAGGTTTGAGAATTATTGTGTGCTTATTCCCAATCACCAAGTGAGCCCATGAAGAGGGGTTGATAACTGTATAACACATATAACTGTATAACACATAAAACACACAGACTTTCAGAAGCAAGACAATGTTACTCAAAATATGACCTCAGCCAGGTACAGTGGCTCACATCTACAATCCTAGCTAATTGGGAGACAAACATGAGAAGGATCACAATTTGAGGTCAGCTGGGAAAAAGTTAGCAGGACATCATTTCAACCAATAGTTGGGCATGGTGGTATGCACCTGTCATTCCAGTTATGTAGGAACCATAGAGAGAATGTTCACATAGATCCATCTTGGCAGAAAACATAAAACCTAGCCCCCAAATAAAAGCAAAAGGGCCCCAAGTGATAGAGCATCTGTCTAGCAAGCAATAAGCCCTAAGTTCAAACCACAGTACCAAGTACTTTTTCCAATGTACATTGTGTATATATATGTAGATTAGATAACTCTGTATAAATACACACATATCTACAAACTTTTCAAAAGATTTCAGGAACGTGTCAGCAAAATAAATCACACCAGTCAAATTGGATTTAAGAGCTGCCTTCCTCTATTCTGTCTCCAGATTTTTAATGTCTAAATGACCTAAAAAGGTGCTGGTGCAAATATCAAACAACAAACTATTAAAAAAAATAAATAAATGAAAGGCCAGACAAATCTGAGGATCCCACTCAAAGTCAGCTTGGGCAGAAAAGTCATGTCCACTGAACTACCAAAAAAGCCAGAAGTAGAACTGTGGCTCAAGTAGTAGAGAGCTAGCAAAAGAAGCTCATGGACCAGCACAAAATGTAAAAAATAAATAAATAAAAGGCCACTGATCTAACTAAGGATTTTTTTTTCATTGTTTCAACCACTCTAGGAAAAAGAGAAGATCATACTATAAAACAAGAGAATTAATCAAAAAGTAGCTGTTTACAGCTTCCAATTCCAAGCCAGGCATTCCTCCTTCCTATCAAGGACACCTCTATCTGAGGTCATCTCTGCAAAACCAGTGCTATCCCAACCGGCACCTGTTTTCTGCAATGGACACCAGCTACACTCCTGGCTGGAATTGTTGTCTACTTCTTATTTGGCAGGGGAAAAACTCCAACAAGATCCCTTTCCAGCAAGACAACCAGAACTCGGTCACTTCATTCCCCACAACTCTCTCCATAACCCCACAATACTGCTGGTCTCCACAGAGTAGGAGACCTACTCTTAGTTTCAAAACCAGTATTCTGGGTTTCCAAGACATGCCTGACCAGATTTACCCTGTTTCTACCTACGACAGTGATTTTGCCATCTCCCAGACTGCAGAAACCAATTATTTCCCATCTTCCTGGGTACCCACTAAGAACTGGACATTAGAAGAAAGGTTTAAAGTCAGACTTACCAGCATAAATATCTATTCTGGTGGCATCAGCATCTCTGCAAAGAAAAAAAGGCAAGAGCCAAAGGAGAATATGAACTATCAGGTTAACTACACAGGCATTGGTAACTATAAGCAAGTTCACTTAGGAACTATTTCAAGGTATTACTATGAACTCTTATCATCTTCCTTCACAATCAAGAATGGCCAATAAATGGCATGTTTGAATTTTATGTCTATTTTTAAGAATAAGAACTCCAAGATAATTTTTTTTTGGAGGGTCCGGTCATGGGGCCTGGGCGCTATCCCTCAGCTCTTCAGCTCAAGGCTAGTGCTCTACCACTTGAGCCACAGCGCCACTTCTGGCTTTTTTCTTTTTGCTTATGTGGTGCTGAGGCATCAAACCCAGGGCCTCAGGCATGCAAGGCAAGTGTTCTACCATTGAGCCACCTTCCCAGCCCCCAAGATAATATTTTTTATAATATAGCCATAAATAAAATCTTTATTGACTAAGGTCTTGGTCTATGAGTAAACCCAAACTTGTATTTAGTCTTACACAGTATATGTATATGCTTTCATCACTAAGAACCATTAACACTGCTAAACAGTGATTCCTTCCAAGTACAGCTATTAACAATAACATTTTGGGAAGATACAAAACTCTGGCCTAGTTAAACACCACACCACACTACACACACACACACACACACACACACACACACACACACACACTCATTAGTGTACTGTTTTGGACACAAAATCACAGTTTATCTGTCCCATTAATTTGCCTCCTAAGTTTCTATCATATTTCTCTGTTTTTCACAAATATTATACTCTAATACACAAAGGAAGGTGGTTAGGGAGATGATATTCACTATTTTTAGGCTAGGACAGGAACAATAATGAACAAATTTAAGTTAATCAAGAAACAAAGTGCAAGCACCAATTAATGTTCTATTAAAAAATTTTTTTGTTGCTAACAGGCCTCCTGGGAGTTGCAGCTAGTACAGAAATGTCTTCATCTCAAGTCTTCAGAGAGCAAAGGTCACAATGATCCAAAAAAGTTTCCACTCCAAGCAGCTTATATGCTAGAAGACTACATACCTTGCATTATCAACCAGTTCAGCAAGAGCACCAAACAAGAATTCATGAGTAGTTCTGAAATTACAAATGCAAACACTCAGCAAAAGAATTACGAATGGATGATAATTCCTAATAAGCTGAAATGCTAAATATTTAAAAGATTTTAGGAAAAAGGGCATCTAAAAATCTCCATTTTCATTATTTATACTACTGTGCGTGTGCCCAGTTCTAGGCTAAGGCTTGAACTCAGGGCCTAGGTGCTGTCCCTGAGCTCTTTTGCTGAGAGCTAGTGCTCCACTTTGAGTCACTTCCAGTTTTCTGGTGGCTAATTGGAGATAAGTCTCACAGAGTCTCTTGCTTGAGTTGGCTTCAAACCATGATCCTCAGATCTCTACCTTCTGAGTAGCTAGAATTACAGGCATGAGCTACCAGTGCCCAGCTATGCAATTGAAATTTCAATGTCTAAATCAAGATTTTGTAGAATTCCCTTCAAGTATTAAACAACTCCTGCTATCTGCTGAGAAATGTTTATTCTTATTTTGAGTTGAGAAATCTACTCTAAAGCATTAAAACTTTCACATGTACTAAATACTTAGAGATATTCTGTGTCAAAAAATGTCTATTTTATGTTTCCTTATTTTTTTTTCTGTCAGTTTCTATACACCTCGTGGGAAGAATTACAAGCATACATTTTATGTGTGTACATTTTTATAGTCTGAATAATTTAGTACTTGGGCATATTCTCAACCCGAACTTTCAGCCATTTCCTAAAAGAAATGATCATTGGCTCCTCCTTCTTAAAGGAGTTTTCCTGGAAACCACACTAAGATCTTGTCCTTAGAAAGGATAAGAGTATTGAATTCCTTTCTTCAATGTTGTTAGCCAAAACTTGAGAAAGTCAAGATTACTATTATTCTCTCCTGTTTTCAAAAGGAATGTTCTTGCTTTTTAAGCTATACAAAAGCACATTAATTCCCTTTTCCAATTCATGCTTTCTTTAATTTGTTCATTTGAATAGTTCTCATTAAATCTAGTAGCATATGGCTACATAGAGCCATCTAGGAAAACCAGCCTGACTTTCAGCCTGAGAAAATGCAAAATCCCTAACTCACACAACATTTACCATCATCAATTTTTCCTAAATATTCAAGTAACTATTTCTGCTTTTTTTGGGCAAAATTTCAACCAATACACAAAGTGAATTTTTCTAAAAATTTAGAACACAACAATATTAAATAACCAGCATCTAAAAATCTCTAATCATATCATTACATTGTTATATCCTCATACTGTTATAAACTGTAAAACATTTGTTTATAAAATAAATACTTGATTGAATTGTCCAGGAACACTTGATTTTCCTCAAGAAACTCTTCAAATTTTTCTAAGAATTTTGAATTTAAAACTACCAGATCCTAAAATTTATCCCACATAAGATCAGTGAACATATTTGTTGCTAATCTGCTAAAACAGACCAATAAGATACATCAAATAACTTACAGAGTTTGAATTCTTCTACTAAAATGTAATTCTTTTCTTTTTTAGGTCCAAGATGGGGACTCCAACTCAGTACCTGCCATCTTTGCTCACTGGCTAGAGCTCTACCAACTGAGCCATTCGTCCAACCCCTAAAGTGCAATTCTTAACTATTTCACATGGAAGAACTAAATGTCTAAAAGGAAAACTACCTAAAAGAGCTCTATGTTATATTTAACTTTCATCTAGACATGCTGCTACATGCTTGTAATCTCAGCACTCAAGTGGCTGAGACAAGAGGATCCTTGGTTAGCCTGGGCTACATATTGAAACTCTGTCTCAAAAAGAGGTAAGATTTGCTCTCAAGCTCTGAGTTGTCTCCTACTCTGATTGATAAGTGACTTATAAACTTCAAAGTAAGTTAGTTAAAACTCTTTTAACTGAGAATTACTGCCTAGACATACAAAATAACCAAATATTTCGTACTTAGTAATGAAACAGTATTTTAACATTAAGTCAAGTAATCTCAAAATATAGTGCTAAAGAGAAAAAAAGCACAACTATTCTAAGAATAACCATAATACCCAAATGCACTAATTTCAGAATGTGAGTTTAAAAAATGAAGTTTCTAGCCTTTGCTGGCAAGAACAGTGCATAGGAATTATCAGAAAAATTAATTCTGACATCTTCTGCCATGGAGACATGAAACCAAAAATAAAATATCAACTGTATTCCCGCACTACCTATTTCTGATAATTTCATGTGAAAGCAGTATTTAGAATCCAGTAAGATCACAAAAGGGCAAGCACAAAGTACCTATAAATTTTCAATGTTTTGTACGAAAGTTTAGAAATGAGCCTTTATGTGGACCCTAATAAAGAATTCCAAAGGCTTGAAAAAATTCCAAAGTTTTTCTTGTTCCACACAATATCAATGCTGGTCCACACATATTTTAAATAAAATAACAGATACCTTTAAAGGTAGCAAGGGTACTTTTATGATGGCAGTGCACATCATAAAATAAAGGCTTTTGTGACAAAGATTCAATTAATTAATGATGGACCTCTCAAATGCTAACATGATAGTTTGAAATATCTGGTAAATAATTGAAAGCATACCAACTGCAAAAGTTCCTTTTTAAAAAATACATATTCTGGTAAACAGTAATTCAATTTCAAGAGGGATACTCATTTTAGATGGCATTTGAGATAGATATCAAAAGAAATTATTTTCTTCATAGAACTAAAAATCCTTTGCATGTGATCCAAGAAAGATCAGCCATCTGGAAAAAGACATTTATTTTTATAAACTTCTGCTTTCAACTGGTCATGCCATAGTAGAAATAGTTCTGCAGCTCAGCATTTCCAATGACAAATTCGTGTGTAAATTAATTAGCTTGTTATGTAAGGAAAATGGTCTCCCTATTTATAGTCAGGCTGAATCTAAACCAACAGATTACCCACAAGTTCATAACACAGTGGCAGTTTTTGCTGAGTTGGTTATGTTGAAAAGAGAGTTAATTGCCTTAGTTAAAAAGAAATGTGAGGGGGCTGGGAAGTTGGCTCAGTGGTAAAGCGCTTGCCTTGCATGCCTGAGGCCCTGGTTCGATTCCTCAGCATCACATAAGCAAAAAGAAAAAAGCCGGAAGTGGTGCTGTGGCTCAAGTGGTAGAGCGCTAGCCTTGAGCTGAAGAGCTGAGGGACAGCACCCAGGCCCAGAGTTCAGGCCCCACGACGGGACCCCAAAAAAAAAAAAAGAAATGTGAGAACAGGGTTCTAGTGGCTCATCTGTAATCCTCCCTACTTAGGAGGCTAAGGATCAAAATTCTAGGTTAACCCAGGCAGGAAAGTCTAAAACTCTTTATAGCCACCCAAAAAAACCTAGAAGTAGAGCTGTGGCTCAAGTGGTAGAACATTAGCCTTAAGGGAAAAAAAAAAAAAAAAGCTTAGTAACAATGTTCAGGACCTGAGTTCAAGCTCCAGAACTGACAAACACATACAAATTCTAGAGTGACTATTTTATATTCAAATGGCTTGTAAACGATTAGAAATTGAAGTCTCTGAGTTGACAGTACTCTCTATGTTCACTTTACATATGGCTAAAACAACTTAGAAATATTGTATGTCCAAGGTAAATTATTCAGTGTTCCAACAAAGACATAAAAAATAGCCATCTTGGATGAAGAGGGATAAGAAAAAAATAGGATTGTGATCAAAATACACCATATACATGTTTGGAAATGTCATGGTATAACTACGTACAATTTAATAAATGCCAATTTAAAAATATATATTAAAAAAAGCAGCCTTCTTAAGACTTAAGTATCCTACTCTATCAGACCACACAGTGGAATGGCAAATCAAGTGATTTAAGATATATATATATACACCTTATGCTGAAGGATAACACCACCACTACAGTAACAACAATATTCATAAAATCCACCATAAAGTGTAGCTGACAGTATAAATGCCTTTTATGTAAAGACTCTAAATTTACTAAAAATTTATCTGCCTTAATGACCAAAATCACAAAACACTAACTTTGGGTTTATATAAACTAACACAATATCTGGGTACAGATAGCTCATATAATCCTAGCTACTCAGGAAGCTGAAATTATTAAGGATCAAGTTCAAAGTCAGCCCAGGAGACAAATCCTTGAGACTCTCTTGATTAACTAGCAAAAAGGCAGAACTGGAGGCTATGTTCAAAAAGTAGAATACCAGTTGTAAGCAAAAAAGCCAAGGGTGAGAGAGGCCCTAAGATTAAACACATATATCCCCATTATCCGATGTGTACCATGTATGAGCTAAGACCTTTATATCACTGGACAGTGTCTTTTAAGCACTACACTACCAGATTAACTCCATAGAGGAAGAAACTGAAATTCAAGAAGCTGATGTACAAGGACCCAGATATGAGCCAGTCAAATCCAGGGTAAACTAGCTCCCAAGACCAGGCTTTTCACTAAACCACAATGAGGTCCATCCTTCTACTTTGGGCTTTGCAAGTCTGCATTAAATAGAAGGTAAACAAGGCACCATTCCTTTCACAATTCATAATTTAGCAATACTGTATATGTCACACATCTTAGAATGGTCTTGTAGTTTAACATTTTAATAGAACAGAGATGGTACTGTAAGAGCAATCTTTCTTCCCTGAAGGTGTCTCACAAGTTCATCTTCAACCTTTATAATTAACATTAAAAGTCATAGCAGATGAGAATTTAAAATTTTTCGTTTCTTCTGAGAATAAACTTCTACTCAAGTTATCACAACAAAAAAAAAAAATCTTGAAATTAGTTACCAACGAAACAACCCAGATGCCAAGTATGGTGTCATGTGCTAAAAAATCCAGCATCCAGGAGACTGAAGTAAATAGGGAGTTTGAGGCCAGCCTGTGCTACCTATTAAACCTGTCTCAACGAGAAAAGGCAAAAAAACAAAACAAAACAAAACAAAAAAACAAAAACTGTTCTACTGCTATTTTCTTCTGTAACGACAAGACACATTCAAAAGCAAAACAACTTCAAAGGTCAAAGTTGTGATTCAGATAGGAAATTCCAGACATTCCAAAATGAGAGCCCAACCTCACTATGTTCAAGCAACTAGTTCCAGTTCATTATGAGCAAGTAAAATTCACACACACAAACAAATCTCCAACATTACCTTGAACTTACAAGTAACTTAATATTTGATTCTTTGCCTTGATACTGCCCACTTACCATTAATAACCTATGCAATAACAAAAGAAAAAAAAAGGCAAGAAGAAATAGCTCATAATCCTCAAATTAAGAAACTCACTGGAATTGAAAGTAAAATCTTTTAAAGTGCTTTATAGACAAGAAAGCAGGCCCAGCTAAATAAGACTGACTGGATCAGCACTTTTGTTTAAAAGCACTGAGGTCAAATCAATCTTCTTATACTTCAAGGTACCTCTCAATTCAGCCAACTGACTCAGCAGATGTAACTATTATCACTTTGAGCCTGTTTCCTCAAATATAAAACAAAAACAATCACCAATTACTTTAAAAATTACATTTAAAACAGCTATCAGCATGAAGCAATCAATTGTTGACATTATTTTATTGCATAAAACCTATAGCCAACCTGAAACAGGAACTCAATATTCTAAAAGCCATTTTATGGTCTTCCAAGAGTTTTATAATCTCTGATATACTATTATTCAAAAATCCAAAACACAAGTCATTCATGGACTGACATCTAAGAAGCCTTCATGTGAAAGCCTTCTTTACATATGGCAGTTTGAACATAGGACATTGAAGGTTTTGCCTATTGCTGTGCTACAGCCTTTGACCCATGATCCCATCTAACTAGGTTCTAGATTAATCCTCTATTCGGGAATTCACCTGAGGTACCCTTCTCTAAAACAACGGAACTCAATAAAAAAAACTTTCTAAAGAAAGCTAAATAAAACCACCTTCAGTATGACAAACCACTGCTCAAAAAAAAAAAAAAAAAGTTATTTCTCTGACTAGAAAAAAGGAAAAAAAAGTTGGACCTCATGGAATTCATCATAGAATTAAATAATAGCCTTTGCCACAAAAGATAAAACTTGGTGTATGATTAAAGAATAAGTGAACACTCAAATCTGAAAGTGGTTGTTCAGCTAACTCTGGACAATTCATTTAGGTGTTCCATCACCTCATCTCTCAGTATAATTGTAGAACTTACCTTCATCTTCACAGTTAACAGGTGAATGTATTAAAACAGAAAAAGTTTTGACCTCACTGGACAACTTAAAAGACGGGGGGTTTAAGTATTAGCCCTAAAATATTCCAGACCAAATTGGAGTGATAATGTCAGGATGAACTGAAGAACCATGTACACAGCATGTATCTGTGATTCCAGGCTATCTACAGGGTTTAGGTAGTACAAACCATACTGGAATGTACTAGGAAGATAAAGCCAATTGTTTGCTGAAAAAAAGAAAAAGTTTTCTTCTCCTAAGATGGTTTAAATGTCTTCTTTTTGGTTAGAAATACTTGTTATAAACTTTACTGTCTACAAACTGTTGTTACTAGACGAAGAACCGTTGGTGCTAAAATAGTCTAACTTTTGACGATCCAAAGAGCAGTACTTGTGGAATTCCTACTAAACAACTCAGTAAAACTGACTTCACATAAAATCTGTACTTAGAATTTTTGATCCAATAAATGAACATCAGATTCTTCTGGATTACCAATATTTCAGTAATCTCAGTTCTTCAATACAGAGCTCAAGATATCCAATGATACACTCCAGTGATATATCCTAGAGTGAAAATGCAAAATAAAAGAAAAAGCTTTTTCCTGCTGAAAGGATTTCCATATTAACCTGAGTGGCCCCTGTAAGATACTTACGAATTTGTGTGCAGATACTCAAAAGTTAGTTGAGCTCGGTTCAGACTGCTGTAATTTGTGAAAGCCATGACTGCAATGGTCTCCAAATCTTCTATTCACCGCTCAGAAAGACATGGAACTCAACGGATTTTTCCAGGATTCAGTCCAGTAAAGTTATGTCTGTGTGCTTAATATCAGCTAAACAAGTTGCCTAAAAAAAATCTATCCAAAATACAGCCAGATATTAAGAACTACAATCGAGTCCTTCTTCTCAACGATTATGATGGAATATTTTGGAATTACGTCATAAACCTGTGTCCTAAACGACTTAGAAGCGTTACGTTTCAGTAATTCAGACAATCCAAGTCCGTGTAGAAGGTTCTGGAGTCGACGGCGGGTCTTGGAGTTGGCGGTTTATTACTGCTTCATCTTGACATTCTTCGAGTCTTTTTCTTTTTCAAACATTTGTAATGTGATTTATGATTGTTGTTCTTCCCCTAAATTCCTTGATTAGGAAAACTTACCAACCCTAAATTATTTACCCAATTCTGTCATAAAATTGAACATTCATTCACTCGTGTCTTCGCCGCCGGTGACGTCAAGATCCTTCAACAGGCTCTAGACCGGAGGCCGGAGACCACGAGGTCGCTAGAGCACGTATGGCGCCAGTTCCGGTTTCTCAGCTTCCCAACTGAAGAGAGGCAAACTGGCCGAGAATCCAGCCGGCGTCGGCGCCCTCGATCTCCACAGCAGCGTCGTGGGCGGTCAAATTACCTCACAAAGACCCGGATGCAACGGCCTTTCCCGACAGTCCCGGCCCGAACCCCTCAGGCGCGCCGCGCCCCTCCCCCACTACCCTCAGCCCCTCCCCCGCGCCTCCGTCCTGCGGCCGCCGCCTCCTCGCGGAGAGAAGTTAGTCCCGGCTTTTCAAGGCCCGGATGGAGACTTAAGGGGCGCGCACCACGCGGTCTCGGGCGTCTCCCGGCGCTCGCAGCTGCCTTTGTCCCTCCCCGCAGAATTGAACTCAACAACCGCAGCGCGCTCTTGGAACCATGTGCTGCCGCCTCCTCCGCCGCCGCCGCCGCCGCCGCCGCCAGCGCCTCCGCAGCCGCCGTTCTAGCGCTGCGTTTAGATGAATTGGAAGGATTCAGCGCCTCGAAATTTTGCTTTTTTTCCTCCCCCCCCCGCACGTCCTCCTCCTCCTCCTCCTCCTCGGATGCCGCCGTTACCACCGCCTCAGTCACTGCTTTGTCTCCGCTAAGTGCACACAGCTCCGGCCACCTCACTCACTCCGACGCCCCAAACCCCCGAGGCCTCCGCGGCGCATTCAGCCAATCACAAAGCCCGAAACTCCTCCCGCCTCCGCCCTGCTACCCCGCCTCCTAATTGGCGGGCAGTGTGAGCCCACGTGACCGGATCTTGGTTGGCCAAACCCGCCCCTGTCACGTGACAGCGCGCGCCTCTCTTCCTGCTTTCCTGACCCCTCTCCGCCATTTAAAGAAACAGTACCGGGGGCGGGCCGAGCGACGCAGCCGGGACGGTAGCTGCAGCGCGGACCGGAGGAGCCATCTTGTCTCGTCGCCGGGGAGTCAGGCCCCTAACTCGAAGAAGCCCTGGCGCGCCCTCCCCCCCTCCCCGGTCTGGTAGGGCGAAGGAGTGGGCGCGCGGTCGATCGAGCGATCGGTTGGCGGCTCTTTCTCCTGCTCTGGCATCCAGCTCTTGGGGCGCAGGCCCGGCCGCCGCGGCGTGCGCCCGGTGGCCGTTGGCGCTCGCGCCGCGTCTTTCTTCTCGTTCGCAGAACTCGGGCGGCGGCCTATGCTTTTGCGATTCGACGAGGAGTCGTCCGGGTGGTCGGCGGCGGCGGGCAGTTGCTCCGCCCCGCTCCCGGGGAGGCGGCGGCGGCGGCGGCAGCGGCAGCGGCGGGATTTGGCGCGACCGGGGAGGCGGGGGTGGCCGGCTCGGGCCTGGAGGCCTGGCGTCACCCTTCGGGGCCTGCAAGGACCCAGTTGGGGGGACAGGAGGGAGCTGGAGGATGGTTGGTGGTGGGCTTCCTACTTTGCCTTTTTCTCCTTATGCCCCCTTAGTGAGAGGCGGGAGCTCTGGCGGCAGCTCCGGGGTGGGGATTCGAGCTCCGGAGTCGGAAGAGCTGGGTTTGCTTCCGGGCCCAGCCATCAGCTGGCCGAGTGACTTTAGGCAAGTCGCTCAGTAATTTGTCTGCGCCTCAGTTTCCTCCTCTGCCTATCAGTGTGTGTGGGATTGAAAGCGCTTCTTAAACTATAAAGCGTCGGTATTATGTGTCAAGGATGATTATTGTTTGTAACGTGTATGTGTGTGCGAGTTTTTAATGCTTGAGTTGTAAGAAAACTTAGCAATTGCCCATTCCCTGAACTTGATACCCTGGGAAACCTTGGAGATCTTGAGACTCCGTGCGTTTATATGCACCAATGTATGGGACCGTGTATGCTGAGGGAATGATGATCCATCGCTAGCAAGTTTTCAAAGGGGGCTGTGACCCAGAAGAGTTAACACTTCCTCTATGCCGCAGTGAGGAAACTGAGGCCTAGATGTCATTTGGGACCCTTCACAACCAATTAGAAACACCTCCTTCCCTCCCCCACCACCCCCGTTTGAGTCCCTGGGATATGTGAGCTGTTTCTGTGCACAATGAATATGGGGTAACATTTGCCCCAACTCTGCTTGGCTTCTGAGTCCTGTCACCAAGGGGTGCCTGAAGGTTGTCTGATGCGTATGGTACAATGGCACCCAATATAAAGCAGCTACGATTCAAAGTGGGTGTGTTCTGCAGTATGAAGAAGCGTATTTAATCTTTGGCCTAGAAATCGTTTGTTTGCTGCTGCTTATACTGGTGCCTGACTACCGTCCTGTCTTTTTCATTGACTGTTTCCCATTGACCGTGGTTGCCATCTGTCGCTTGCTCCTATTTTGTATCCCTAGTTTGTGTGGTTGGTAGTGAACAGGCTTATTAAAATGGTGCTGTCAAGCCCAGCTAATTAATGGTGCACGTGGATTTTAAGCGAGGGGGCTCACTGGAACTGACTGAACCAGGAATGGAAAACTTGAAAGATATTTCGGGAGCTTTTTCCCTTTGCTAATTGGAAGTTAACTTGTTCTGAAACGTTTTGTTAGAACTGCTGAACTTCAATATTAGTAGATTTGGAAGTGATTCACAGTTTGTTTCTGGCCTGCCTTGTATTCTAATTGCTTGCCAGTGTGGTACTGAGATGGCAAAATGCTATGTTTTGTTTCTTTGTTACTTGTCAGCTGCTTTTTTTTTTTTTTTAATCAAAAGTCCAGGTCATTTTCCAGCAAACACTAAAAATGTTTGAACAGTTGGATTTCAAACATTTTCATTTTGTGGAGTGGTGCTTACCAAGTGGTACAGCTCTAAGCAAGTGAACATTTCTTAAACACATTTGAGTGTATTTTATCTGATTAGATGTTTGCTAATTCTATTTCATTCAAATGTCTGAAAAGAATCAGGCAAAGATATGATTTCACTTCCAGAGAAATGACTGTTTTGGAGAAACATGTATTGCCCTTTAGCTCTTTTGTAATCTGGATGTACCTCAAAAAGAATATTAAGACTGTGGTGATGAGCGACCTTCCTCTGGAGAAAGGAGGGGGAAATAACAACCGGAACTCCAAAGCTTGAAGGTCTGTGACAAGACAGGAGATGTGCAAGATTGCAACTTGAAGAGATTTTGCTACGGTGTTCTGCAGTTGTTGGAGTAGATATCTTTCAGTTTATCAACAGCCATGGACTCCGGATTCTCAAGAACTGGACCTATAACCCAGAAGAGTTTGTCAAGTTGGGGCAGGAACTCTGGAGGTAGATATTTTTTACTTTTGAATTTTGGAAATGTGGACCTTGCTGTGAGGAAAGAAAGAACAACTGAGTATGCACTGACACCAGCGCTGTTACTGGAAATTAGAAGACCTGAATTTCTGTCCAGACTCATGCAAACTGACCACACCATCCAAAGTGAATTACGGTACTTGCCATTTTCCAAAATCCCTTATTTGCTATTTCTGCATTTATGTTCTCTCTTCTCTTCTCTGGAAATGCCTTTTTCTGGTTCACCACTTCTCACAGCTCTGCCATTTTCCTCAGTATTCAACCTATATGCTGTCCTCCCCATGAATCCCTTTAGCCAGAATAGAACTTTGGTTAAAACTTTATAATTTTTTTGTCTATCTTTATATGCAAAATCTTGTTTTGTGGATTTTTTTTTTTTCCAATCCTAGGCTTTGAACTCAGGGCCTGGGCACTGTCCATGAGCTGCTTTTGCTCAAGGGTAGCACTCTATCACTTGAGCTACAGCTCCACTTCCTGCTTTTTCTGTTTAGTACTGAGGAATCGAACCCAGGGTTTCATGCATGCTAGGCAGGTAGTTTAAGCCACATTCCCAGTCCACAAAAACCTTTCAAAATAGTTATTTGCATGCTCCTGTTCTCTTTGTAGATGACAAATTCTTGGAAAGGAAGAATCTTAGTTTTATGCACCTTTGTCCACATATTCCATCACTTCTGATAAAGCAATCTGTTATGAGTTTAGAGAGCAGGGCAGTACATAGTGTGTGTAATCAACTGCATAATAACTAAAATTACTCTTGATTAAAAGGAGTCACAACTATGGGTCATGTTTCTTATATTTTCATGTTTTACCATTTTATTTGGTGAACAAAGAAAAGAGCTTTATTAGCAAGCTCAAATGTTGGAAGATTATGAGTTCTCGCCTTCCCAAAACCATCTCATCCTTGGCCTTATGGGAGATTTTTTTTTTTTTTTTTTTTTTTTAAGGGAAGGTATATGGGTCCCTGACAAATGGTTCCTTAATTATCAAGTGTTTCACAGAGTAGTCTCTGGTGAAGTGTGGGATATATACATCTTATTTGCATCATCAATGAGAATTTCAGCCCAGTGGATGATTTCAGAAAGTTTAGTCATCATGGTGGAGCAGAGCAATTCATGTCATGGTAATTCTAAATTTAAAAAGATGTAGAGTCAGGTGTGGTGACTCAAACATTTAACTTCACCATTCAGAAGGCTGAGGCAGGAGGCCATCAGGGTCAAGGCCAGCTTAGGCTATACAGTGAAAACCTGTCTCCAATATAAGTAAGTTAAATCTAGGGAGCTCCTTCAGACAAGAAGAACTGATTAAGTTGGTGGGGTATTAAATACAGAAGGTGCAAGGACCAAGCCCTTACTCTTACTTTATATAGAATCTTGTTAAAGTAAAACAGCTTTGTAAAAGTCAAGGTCATAATATAATTTGAAACCACAAAGAAAAGAAGGCAGTGTTTCCTTTGATTTCTTACTGGTAAAAAGTCTCACTTCTGCCACCAGTGGCACAAAAAAAAAAAACTTAATTCCCCAAAACTGGCAGCCTGACTAGACTCAAATTATTATCACAGAATATGATAGGGTGTTCTTGTGGGTGTATCCTTTATACAGTTCGCTCTCAGGAGTCAGGAGATTGTCTTTGCCAGGAAACTATATTATCAGTGATTATTAGTCAGGTTTTTGTTTTTTGCTTAACACATTTATCACCCATCAATCTCTAAGCCAGGCTTCTCAAGCATTATTAGTATATGTCAAGCAGCTGATAGACTGACAGCAAACCTACTTCATTATCAAAATCTTGTGTTTGTAATTCCATGCATTTTTGTCCCTGTTTTTTCCCCTTCCTCTTCTAGTCAGTCCTGTACCTCCTGATTGCTGAATGTGCACTTGGACCTTCTGATGACCTGCCTTCTGCTATTCCATCAGCCTGTAGACCTGGTGTCTGGATTTTTGCCCAGGATGATTCCTACCACCTTACTACTGAAGAAGACACCATTCCAGTGGACCACTGTGACCCAAAAGGCATTCAGCCATCATGATGTGGCCTTTACCTCCACTCCTGTCCTTACTACCCAGATTCAGCACAGCCCTTTATAATGCAAGAGTTCTCAAGCCAAATAGCTAAAGCTATTTTATCACAACAAAAGCCTAGTTTGTTCCCCTAAATATGTTTCATTTCTTCAGCTGAAGCCTGCAGACACACGTAGTATGGACCAGGGGACTTTTCATTATCAGTATATTCTGAAGAAAGGCAACCTCTCTTTGAGAACATTGGACCATACCCCACAATCTCAAATATGAAGTTCATGAATTAATTAGGAACACATCAAGACTGGATCCTGATCTTTTTCTACTTCACTTCTGTAGTAGCCTACTGAATGATAAAGCAGATATTCTGATTCATTGGGATCAAAACAAAGACACAGTGAACTCCTAGCATCATCTTTGGGATTACTCAGGAACCAGAACGTTTCATACAAATATAAGAAATTCTACCAAGGAATCCCTTAACCTAACAGCATTTCACAAGGCTCCAGTCAGAAAAGGCTACTTGATACATCAAGATAAAACCTATATGGTAATCCCCTCTTGTTTATTTAGCACTTTACAGTTTCAGAGCACTTTTACATACATTTTATTTCTATAATCACGGTAGCCTAACCCTTTTTTAAATGAGAGAATAGAAATTTAAGATATTATACAATTGTACAAGGTTCCAACATGGTAGAGACAAGGCCTTCTGACTCCTAGTCCAGTGTTGCCCTTGACATTAAGTAAGCTGTCTCCTTACAGTGTTAAAATGAGAGATTGGGAACTGGTAGAATTTTGCAACTTCCTAATCTGTGTAGGGTGTTATAAATGTAATCATGTGATTTAGATCAAGTTTGCATGGCAGCCTATAGAAGCAGACTGTTCCCATGGTGTTAGATTGTCCAGTCAAATCAGCAATGTTCACCAAATAAGACTATATGAAACAGAACCACTTTTAGATCCTTTGTCCATTTTCATTATTTTTCTCAAGGATGGCCTATTAGAGATCCCTGTTTATAAAACTTTAAGTTTTATTAGTGCTCCTGGACACCAAGAGGTTATAATATTCTGCCCCCATTTATAGAAAATGAGCCATCCATTTTTTTTAAATATCTGTGTATGTACCATATGTAGAGAATTTCTGTTAGCCAATAAGGTGGCTAAAATACTGTAATATATGTCCCTTTCCCAAACCTCAAGTACAGTGTGATATTTTAAAGGATCTCAGAGGACTTGCACCAAAACGTTTCATTTAGTTGTTTAGCCCCTTGCCTCCTGTTTCAAATACAGATTGCTAATTTTTTTTATTTTGAGCATTCCTTTTCATAGAATGGGAAACTGCTTTAGAGCACCATACCCAATACTTCCTGATTAACAACAGGTTGACCTGGAGACCTCATAATAAATACAATGTCTTTGAAACCCCCTCTTCTCAAAACTTGTCATTAACTGCTTTGCTTTTGGAACTGGGGATGGGGTGGGAAATTCTGTCTCCAGATTGGGTGAGTTCCATGACATTTAGCAATATACTCCCTAGAATTAAGATGTAAACTTTAAGGGTATTGCATCTCAGGTGAGTGAGGAGGTTGGAAAGGGGAGATAAGGGGGAGAGGTGAGAAGGTATGTCTAGAATTTGAGAGTTGTAACTCATTATTGCTTAAGAGAAGTTGTCCAGCCATGGACTTCTTGAAGTAATATTTCCAAAGAAACAAGTGAATTTTGTACCTATTTTTAAAGATCCATTGCTATAGAAATTTAAAGCCAATAGTTTTGTTGTGTTAGGCATTTAAGTCCAACTGCAGGCAATCAAAAAATTTATATGAAGCAGACTTGAAATTTTAATTTCAGTCTATATCATTATCTACATCAGGGAAAAATAGGAAATCCCTTGTCTTACAGGCTTTGCTTACCCTCTTTCTGGTTTGTGTGACCTATTTTTTGTATTTCAGCATTTTGTGAACAACTTATTCTTAGATCATTGGTTTTCCAAAAGCTTTGTGGCCATGAAGCCCTTTGAACACTATGTGGAAGCCCAGAGTAACAGTGAAGCTTCTCTGGATGACGTAGTGAAGCAGGATTGGGGTCTGCCACAGCCATCACCACCCTGGTGACACCTACAGGGACTTCTTTACAACTTCTAGGATTCTTCAGGACACAGTTGGAAAGCCACTGCCCTAGACAACATATTTGACCGGAATGGCATTCTGATCTTTTATGTACCTCTATTCAGTATAGTTTGTATTAAGTTGATACAGAACATTTTTAGAAATACTTAACTGTGTGTGAACTTAGAAAAGTATAAGAAGATGGGCATACCCTTACCCCAGAGAATGGGCGTATGGGCTGAAAGTGGCGTCAAGCAACCTTCACTACTAGCACTCCACCCCAGATGGACTTAGAGTGATTCCTGGAATTGGATATATCCAGAAAGAAATCCATAAGCACCCTACACTGACAAACCCACTAAACAATTTGCACAGACTCCAAATGTACTAGTGGTACTTGAATACATGACTTTGAAGTCTTGAATCCTCCTCGGATATACAAATTGCCTACAAGCTGGTATTGAAGCTGATGCCACATTGAGACCATCTTAGAACAACTTGAACATTTGACCTCTCATCATTGGCCATGGTACTCCAAAGACTAACTGTTAATTATGAAAGCAGAATTCAAATCCTGGCCAACATTCCCTAAAGAAGCTCAGTACCTGGTGGTTATTCATCTTAAAGTACAAATCCATATATGGTTCAGTCATAGTTCAGTCATAGTTAAGGACACTGCTTCTTGGTTTCAGTTTACTGTTTCCAGGATAAATGAGCTAATAGCCTTTAAAAACAAAATAGTTCCTGTCATGTCTGCCTATTCTTCAGAATTATGACTCCTCATCTCTATCCTGAAGATAACAACCTTTCTTATAAATCTGATTTAAACTATAGCCTTTAAAAAAAAAAAAACTGGTACCATCAGCTATATGTGACAGTGATAGTTGGCCATGACTGCATACTTGCTTGGCACCTCAAACAATATGTTGTCTACCTTTTTGCTGGAAATGCAGATTGACTTGGGGGGAAAAAAATCAAAGATGGCAGCTAAGGATTTTATCAGTCTCAAGAGCTTCTGTCCTTGTGGATCTTTTGTTGGAAGCACATCTTTCTCAATACTGTTGATCTACACTGATTTCTAGAGAGCCTGACTTTCATTTTTGACTATGAAATACTCTTAGGCACTAAGACAACTTATTTCTGTAGAAAGGATTCACTTCCTGAACTCCCAGATCATATTATCGTGAAAAAGGAGACTTCTGTTTGTGTCTTGAGAAAATCTCATTCCTTTACAGTCAATTTAAGGACCAGCTATCTTCACCTAATCTAATGAATGCACTGGTTAATGGAAATGGTTTCTTTATCTCTTTGTCTTTTTACTCTCTAATGGTGATTGCATGATTTACTCTACAGATGATCAAATAAGGCTTAGGGCTGTTTCCTCAAGACTGCTGACCCTCAGCAGAATAGAATCTGGATGACTTTTCTGTTTATATATATACAACTATTGCTTATAAAGAAGAAATCAGCAACCAGCTTACTCTTCTACTGTCTCAAAATTGTCAGCTGTTTTTCCCCCACTGCTTCTTCCTGTTCTTACAGAAAGATAATGTTCTACACTGCCAGTCATTCCCTCTGATCCCACCATATTCAGTGGTCAAAATGAGGAACTTAAGAGGAAGATCATCTCAGTCTAATGTAAGCTGTACATAAGAATTGGTGACTGAATAAACAAAAAAGCCTAAAACCTTAAGGCAAAAGACCTAGGGGCTTGCCTACTGTCTCCATGCCTCAGATCTCTTCTAAAGCTCTCAACAGTGCCATCCAACCAGTCTGAGGCCTTGACTTGCTTGTAAAATGGTTCTTGGAGATAGGCTTAGTTACAGAAGATGAAGACTTGATTACCAAAGAAAGTAGAGCCAATTTTGACAAACCTGGCCCTACCGACCCTGTTGCTCCCAGATGTAGCATAAACTCCTAAACAGAACCTCTAGTCTGGATTGAGAACATGGCCGCCTTCCTGAGCTGACAGTTCTTGGGCAGATACGCAGGAAAATACAAGCTGCTGTCACTAGCCCTTCACAATCAGAAAATTATATCCAGAGTAAGTCCTGTTTGTTTACTCTGGAGTACCCAAGATAAACATTAATTTATAGGGCTTCATTATTATTAATCTACCTATTGTCAGATTATATCTTGGTTATTGGTATGGCTGGTCCTACCCTGCTGAAATTGTCCTGCTTGTCTATTAACCTGAATCAGCTCTTAACCTGCCTTTTTTTAACATGTTGTTGCAATCCAACTGGCCTTGAGAAGACAACAACTGATTTCAGCCAATCTTGTGCCCAATTCCACCAAGGATTTCTGAACAAGAAGCAACCTACACCTCACCCGGCCAGAACTTAATATTCACAACAATAAGGACATTGCTGTTAAGTGGAAAGTAAGTCTTATGCTTAATCATTTTCAGCACCTGGGACAGCTACCAAATTGGGAAGGAGTACAATGGATTGAAAGCAGAGTCCCATTTCTTCTGCAGTAATTGAAAAGTGATTGATTCATCTGGATTCACAAAAATTGTACCAGTTCAACTTGGCAGAAGACTTAACAGGAAAACAAGAACGTTTCCACTGAACTCCATTTACAACTGACACAGCCTCACAGAACTATTTGCTAGTGTGAGGCTAGCTATCCCGTTTTATAACACCCAGGCAGAAACTCTCGCACTCAGTTGAGTTTGCTTGTGCTGAGAGACTGTGGTGTGATCCCCAAGTACGCTCTTCAACATGAGTATTCCTTCCCAGTGGACTTTAGCTAGGCTTCCTGAGGTCAGAACAAAACATCCCTCAAAATTGTTTTAGAAAAATTCCACTACTAAGGAAATAATGCTAGCTGTTATCACTGAACAGTCAGAAATTGGGCTTCAGTATCTGGGCTTATCATGGACATTCTTTTTTTTTTTTTTTTTTTTTTGCCCAGCATCCATTCCATCTCGTCGTGACAACTCCTTGATGTTTCTCAGAACTGTTTCTTCCCATTTTGACTCGTTTGTCCAGTGATACTCAGCCCTAGGAAGTTTACTGAACTATGGGAGAGAAACTCTCTTTACTGAGGATGTTTTAGCTTTGTCGGATGAAAAAACTCAAACCAGTTTATCAGTATGTTGAATGAGCCAGTCAGAAAACAAAGCCAGTGCAGAGGGAAACAGAGCCAAAAGATGAAGAGACTTGAGTCCTGGTGACAATGTGTATGCCGCTGGATCCAGCTGTGCCTGAAGCTAGTATATCCCCTGGACTTTTTCAGTTATGTGAACCAATAAATACCCTTTTTTGCTTAAGCTACTTTGAGTTGGGTTTCTGTTACTTGGAACTGAGTCTTAACTGGTATTTACCAACTTCAAAAATAGGTCTAAATACTAAAATCGAGGTAATGGTCACACAAATGTATTTCTAAAGAAAACAAGAAGCATAAAAATTACATGGTAGAAAATTCAGTGAAGGACTGGTTGAGAAAGATAACAGTTCAGACATAAGAAGATCTACATTGCCATGATATATTAAGTGAAACACAACATTGATAGAAAAGTATATAGTATGAACTCCAAATAATGTGCATGTTTGTTTGTAAATGCATAGAAAGTCAGTGGCTTTGACCAGTAGATTACATGTATGTCAACTTTATACACTTCTGTATTTGAAACAGAACACTTTTAAACTTACTTAAAAATAAAGAATTTTGCCAGGCACTATTGTCTCACACCTACAATCCTACTTCTGAGGATCACGGTTCAAAGCCAGCCAGGGCAAAAGAGTCTGTGAGACTCATCTACAATAAACTACTCAGAAAAAGCACTACTCAGAAGTGGTGCTGTGGCTCAAGTGGTAGAACACCAGCCTTGAGCAAAAGAAGCTCGGGCAGCATCCAGGCCCTGATTTCAAGCCTCAGCACCAGCACACACACACACAATTTTAAAGCATATGTGTGTGTGTGTGGTATGTAATGTTTACTCTGTGACCTTGGCAAGTTGCTTATTAACCCTGAGCCCGTTTTGATCAAATGATCAAAAACACCCTCCTTCAAGGCTTGGGGTGTGGCTATGTGGTAAAGCACCTGACTATCAAATACCCAGAGCTCAGACCCCCACCAAAAGAAAATTTTTTTATTTAAAAAGGATAGAAGTGTGGCTCAAGTGGTAGAATATTTACTTAGCAAGTGCAAACCCAGTACCAGTACCAATCTTTTTTTTTTTTTTTTTTTTTGGGTCCAGTCGTGGGCCTGGGCACTGTCCCTCGGCTCTTCAGCTCAAGGCTAGCGCTCTACCACTTGAGCCACAGCACCACTTCCGGCTTTTTTCTTTTTGCTTATGTGGTGCTGAGGAATCGAACCCAGGGCCTCAAGCATGCAAGGCAAGTGCTCTACCACTGAGCCACCTTCCCAGCCCAGTACCAATCTTTTTTTAAACCTATTTTCATGCTAATGACTATTAAGATATTCATCTATTATTCTAGGTGATATTGCAACACTTTGAAGAACTCAGCTCAGAAACTGTTCCTGAATTTTTTAAGCATGTCTTTCAAATGCTAGTATTCAGGTTACAAAGCCTTATGATTTCAGTGTTTATAGAAGATTATTTCAGTTCTCATGTAGCCACATTAGGCATTGAGAAAGAAGTCACTTTTGTTTTTAATACTGTAGTTACTATGATGTCCTTACACTGAAGATCAATAACCTTTTCTATTCTAAACCTATTGGATGTGCATCTTGCCCTGCTCCAACTTGCAGCACATAAGGCAACCCCCACTAGCATCTTCCCTAAGGGTTGTGACAAAGCCATTTTCATCCCAAGTTCTTGGCTATTGCTGCAATTCAGTGTCTTCCCAACACTTAAATGGTGTGATGGATATTAATTGCTTTGGCCTGCTCAGATCATTTCCCTTTCCCCAGTCCACTTTTGAAAGCTACTCCTTACTGTTGTGTGTGGTTTTGGTGGATATATAGGTTAGGGTATTCTGGCTAAGGTTTGAGCAATTCAAGCTTGTCCTATTAAAATCCCACACTTACCAGGACTTTGAAACTTAGAGAAGGCTGGAAATGTGGCTTAGTGGTAGAGTGCTTGCCTAGCATGCATGAGGCCCTGGGTTCAATTCCTCAGTACTACATAAAAAAAGAATTTTAGCCGGGCGCTGGTGGCTCACGCCTGTAATCCTAGCTACTCAGGAGGCTGAGATCTCAGGATCACGGTTCAAAGCCAGCCCGGGCAGGAAAGACCATGAGACTCCTATCTCCAATAAACCACCAGAAATCCGGAACTGGCGCTGTAGCTCAAGTGGTAGAGCGCTCACCTTGAGCTGAAGAGCTGAGGGACAGCGCCCAGGCCCAGAGTTCAAGCCCCATGACCAGCAAAAAAAAAAGAATTTTAGCGGGGTGATAGAAGTGACACAAGTTAATTCTGATAGCTGTGTCTCTGTTCTGGGACCTGATTATCTAGTTTTTCCCCCTTAACTATAGTCTACTGGATGTTCTTACAAGTTTTTGTCAACCACAGTGGGTTTCTATTGCTTGAAACCAGATCAATTCCACAAGTTGATAGCAGAGAGTTAAATAGTCTTCACAGCTTCAGGAAACAAAAGAGGATCTGGAATTGATTGTTACCCAGTGATGGAATCAAAAGGATCAGTAACATGCTCTGTGCCCCGTAGTGGCAACACTCTATTGTGATGAAACTGCTAACAGTCTCCCCTCCCTTTTTCATGCAGATTCAAGTGCCAAATATAGAGCAGGGTTGGTCACTTGGATCCCATTGGATAATTCAAACAAGAAGAACCAGCTCAAACCTAAAACCTTAAAGCAGAAAATAAGACCCAGGGCCTTTTTGTCAAGGTTGTGTGAATTCCTATGTGCTTGAGTTCAAACTAGCACTTGGAGATTGATGTTGCAAATCGCTAAATTATGTTAGTCTAATTTGGAGCATTACTGAAATCTCTTCTGAGAATCAGAAAATAGTGTTGGTATTTGGGTGCACTCAGAAAACCTAGAGAACCTCAACCTTGAAAACATCTCAGGAGGGGCTGGGAAGGTAGCTCAGCGGTAGAGTGCATGCCTTGCAAGCATGAGGCCCTGGGTTCGATTCCTCAGCACCACATAAACAGAAAAAGCCGGAAGTGGTGCTGTGGCTCCAGTGGTAGAGCACTAGCCTTGAGCTGAAGAGCTGAGGGACAGCGCCCAGACCCAGAGTTCAGGCCCCATGACCAGCAAAAAAAAAAAAAGAAAACATCTCAGGAATGAAAGTTTGGGGTCAAAAATCCTTGACAAATTTTATGTTACATGTAATTAAAATGTATGTATGTGTGTCTAATCATATATGTGAAGATAAACTGTAGCTACAGTCCTCTGGTCTGCTAACAGAAATAAAATGCTCTTCATCCCATTTCTCATACTCATATTAAACACCTAATTCATGTTTGCTCAAAACTTACTCCCTTTCAGGTATTGATTTCCTTTCTTGGTAGAAGGTTCCACTATCGATGCTGTTTCTCAGACCAGAATACAGCAATTTTCATGCTTTTTTCTCTTACCTCATACATCACTATTAGGTACTAAGTTCTTTTGGTGTTCTCATGTAAATATACTTGAAAAACATCTTTGCTTCTATCACTGTAAGCATTATGCCCACCTTTGGTCCTCAGCTCCACCTAGACCTGCTGGCCACTTCCTCTCTCCATCTGGACCCACTTGAACTCCCATCTACCTCACTTCCTAGCCCCCAGACCCTGCTGCTACCTAGATAGTGGAGGCTGCTTGTGCTCGTGCTCTCTCTCTCTTTCTCTCTCTCTCTCTCTGAGGCAAATATGGCTCCTCTAATAAACCTTGTAATAATTCTCCTGTGCCTGCCTGCCTCTGCATGGTCCCCTGGCATGGATGTGATGGATCCTTTCAATCAGTCCATCTAAGGGAATATTTGTTGCTAGGACTATGCATTGTCTTTTAATGGTCTCCCTGGGCTAATGTCCTTGTACAGTCTGTGCTCTCTGGAGCAGGGAGAGTTGTCTTTGATACACAAATCTGATTGTGCCACTTCTCTGCTTAGAACCTTCCCATAGATCCTTGGTTTCATAATAAAATCTTAAGTATATTCTGGTTGCAAGGGTCATTGTTAACTTTCCAAGTCTCATCTTTTACCACTTCAAATGGGAGTGACTCCATTTTGTATGTTGGAATTTCCTGTAATATTTTATTTGAAAGAAGAATTCCAATCTTTTTTTAGAAAAAAAAAATAGGGGAAAGTCCTATTTTTAAAAAAAAATAAGATGCTGGTGGCTCATGCCTGTAATCCTAGGTACTCAGGAGGCTGAGATTAGTCAGGGCAGGAAAGTCCATGAGACTTTTTTTTTTTTTTAAATATACTGAGGAATCTAACACAGGGCTTCATGCATGCTAGGCAAGCACTGTGCCACTAACCACAATCCTGGCTTTGAGACTCTTATCTACAATTCACCACCAAAAGGCTAGAAGTGGAGCTGGGGCTCAAGTTGTAGAGCGCTGGCCTTGAGAAGAAGAGTTCATGTTCAGTAACTAGGCCCTGAGTTCAAGCCCCATGATCAACAAAAAATAAAAATAATAAGTTGAAACCTACTGATTGTTCTGAACAACAGAATATAATTTATTTTCTTTTATACCTCTTACCATGACATCTTCCTCTAAGTCTGATTTGTGTAACAATTTAGAGAGTTGTGGTAGTCACATGCTCAGACATCCTTCAGATCCCTGCTTAACAACATTTACAAAGCAAGTACCAACAGAACTGCAGCTTTAAGTGATAACATGAGCTATTGGAAGACTAGGTAGGTAGCTGTTATGACCTTGGAAATCTTTCTAAAATGGAACATAGAAGCTGTAAGGGAATTATAGATCTATTTGTCTATGTAATAATAGACTGAGGAAGTGGTTCTATTTCTAACAAAAGTAACAGAAAAAAATAAAAAATATCCTTTATACAAAGAATTTCTCCAAATTAACTTCAGTGATGACAGGCATGCATCATTTAGTGACAGGTGTACCTTCTGCAAAATGCATTAAGTCAGTTTTGTTATATAGACATCAGAGAGTAAGTATATTTATATAACTAAGACATCTGTGACATCACTAAGCTCATGAACACCATGGTATGTGGTCTTTATTGATGGAAATATGTGGTACATGCCTGTAATCACATCATTTATGGCTTGCTCTGTGCCAGGCCTAGTTTCAGGCACTTCATAACTATTTCATTTAACTCTCCAAGTTTACCTTACAAGATAAGTAACATTATCCCTGTTTTATACCTAAATAAACGGGCTC